AATACAATAAATAATTGGATCAAAAAAGAAATTTGTCTCTGTTTCATAATTTAGAGGTAAATGGGAAGTGTGCTTTTAGCTTTCATGGGTGTGTGCATCTGCATGCTAGCTGACTCATGAATAAAGATTTGCTTGGAGTGCAGCAGCTGCTGTTCACAAGCTTTGTTGTCAGATTGGTTTGCTGTTCTCACTAATTATGATCCATCTGAGCACCACTTTTTACATTTCAAATGCACTTTATAGTAAGGCCAGATATATAAAACAAAAAAATGACATCCTGGTTTTAAAAGATGAAAAAGAAATGTATGAAATCTATAAAAACACAAGCTTCAAATGACATATCTTTTGGGAACTTCTATCCTCAGTTTAGAGTTCATTCACACAGAGTTAAAACAGTCATCTTTGTTCAATTTTACCAAGCTGTCTCAAGTTTGAAACTTCTTGCGATCATGTTCAGTGGGCGACTTACAAAATAAAACAGAAACGCATTCATGTGGTTTGGTTGCTGAGGCTAAGAAGCAAAACCCTAATTTTCAAGTAATTCAGGCAGACAGTTTCAGAGCACTTTGCAGCCCTGTCTCCTTTTTACAAAATGAAATCATTTCCAAATTTCCCATAGTTGCTGCCTGAAATATAAATCATCCTGTAAGCTGAAGAAAAGAATTTGATTGTGGTTGGGGTTATATGTAGACAATTTCATCATGCACCCACAGTCACTTGATGAGTTTCCTTTGAGACTGGAGTGGATGCGATAGGTGGATGTAAGGATATGTTCATAAAATGGAATAAGTAGATCTCTACCTCTAATATTTTTGGATTTTTACAAAAATACTTTTAAAGAGTACAGTTCATTGTAAAACATAAACTCATTATCAATGATAATTGAATCAAACTTTATAATTAGGTTAAAATAGTTATCAAAGAACCGTCCATGGTGTATCCCGCCTCTCTCCCATTGACTACTGGGTTAGGCTCCAGTCCCCCCATAAGGGAATAAGCTGTAATGAGAATGGATAGATGGATGGTTATCAAAGTCATCAAAATATGTGTTTACATGAATCATCAGTAGTAGTATCTTCATGTCCAGTTGTCTAAACTGAACTTTTTTAGCTTTACCATGACCTGGATGACTGAGAATCTTCCCAGATACATCAGTAGAAGCTGCAGATGTCACAAATATCCCCACATTTGCCAATGTCATAGGAATCAATATCTTTTACTGCTCAATGATTTGAAAATTTGACCTTAAAATAATCTACAAGACAGTTGTTGAATGTGTTTTAGATGAATTCTGTCTTGTAGATTGTATCTGTTGACCAGTTCCACCTGACTCTTGAATGTGCAATAATCTTTCAAATGAGGAGTCAGAACTGTTTGTGCTGCAGCCCTGGTGCGTTATTCCTCTCCATGCGACCGTAGAAGAGACCGATCGCTTCCTGCACTGAAGTTCTGTGAGGCCCAAAGATGATTTAGTCCTCTGTTTTTCCTCTTTTTCACAGATTCTTTTTCGCAGTTTCACAGAAATTAAATGCCTGTCGTATTTGACTAATTTACTCATATTTCCTCTGTGCAAAGACCTTTTGCCACAACTGCTAAATCTGACAGTTAAAAAGCCCTTTTTAATGAAAATCCCGCCAACAATGACATGGTCACTTAGTTGGTTTTCTTTTGCTCAGCATATCTGTTCATGCTCCAAAGCAAGACTGAATGTCAATGACTGTAGGCCATATAATCGAAAGGACTTGAATATACTGTCAGGCATGGCCTGTTTGTGCCTCCCTAACATGATAAAACATACTGCTAAATGAATATTCAGTCTCTCCCCGAATTTATGGCTTAACTATTACTAAAATTTGTTAAGTTTAGTTTACAGTTCTATTGACAACTGGGACAACTTGGTTAATATTTCAGAGAGCTATTTCAGTTGGTCAAGTTTGACTCCTTTTGGCTTAGTAATGGTGACTTGTTTGACAATTAGTCTGGCTTAAACATCAATAGCTTTACAAATCCAAACTGATTAAACTAGAATTAGTTGTGCTTGTTTCCAAAAACTCTCACCCATATTTCCAATTATTCTCAATTCTCATTTGGTATTTCTTAATTAAAATTATTTTCTATTATCTGCGCTATTATAAGCAGATTGTTCACCTTTATGAAAGGGAAAAATGTCTGGCTGTGACTTAGTTGTTATGGGAAGAAGATGCAGTAGAGAACAACCTGTCAGTAGCCAATACCTAGGTGGTTGATTAGATCCATAATAAAAGCCTGTTCAGTTCTCAGAAAAACTCAGACACAATCATAATGTCTCAAAAGCTTTGATGACTATTCTCAAAGTGCGGTTTTATCTTGCAGAGAAAAAATCAAACAGATCACAATCTTTTTAAACTCAAAAGTTATCAGTCTATTGTAATTTAACCCATTTTCAGCAAACATCTGTCCACCTAATAAATGGAACAAAAATGATCAATTGCTTCTTTACCTCTAATTGCTGCTGATAGTTGGCATCATCTTGCCGACTCGAGTATCTTTAATTTAAATGGAAATGAGATATTGGTCCTATTAGATTAAGGATCAGTGGTGTATCAGTCTCTCCTCCCATCCACTAAGAGACTGTGTGTGCTGTTTTATATTGTTCCAATTGGGATATTTAGCAGTGGGTGTATGTTTTGGAAAGTAATGGAACTTCATGCACGATATTGCTCTCATGATATTGAAAATGTTTGGTTAGCGTTTAAACAAAGGCCTGAGTGAGTAAGGTACTGGAGTATTTGGGTGAATGCATACAAGTTCTCATTAGATAGGACACTATCTACAAATTAAGCTTGCACGTCTTCCATTTGCACATTAGCAAACATGAATGGAGCATATATCAAATGTAATCAATCAATTAATCAATAAATTGATGAGTTTGAGGATTTTTTTTTACATTTGAAACAAACAATTTTTGGTCTTACAACATCAAATTGTTTTTGCTCTTTTCAATCTGGGAATTGCAAGCAGAGATTGAAAAAGTTTGCAACGATTTGGAAATCTGACTTGTTGCAAGGTTACATAAAAATGTAGGTCAAAGTCTTTTTACCTTTGCAAGCAGACCGATTTAAGTGATTTATGCATGTTTACAGTTTCGTGTTACCCAGAAAGTACAAAGTTTGTGCAGAAGTCTAGGTTGGAATCTCAAGACATCTACCCGCTAACTGCTTCCATTTATCAGTGGCCATGTCCCAGGTCATGTTCTATTTTCGTCTCTCCTCACATTTTTCTAACATTTTTTATGTTTTTCTCAGAAAAAAAAAGGCTACCTCTTTGTTTTTTTGACTATCCAAAAAGTAAAACAATAAATGTTTGAAACTACTCTTCAAATCCAACAAACATGACAGTTAATGTGTGGCGGAATGGTCTAATCATATCCTCTATTTTCCTCATGGTGGAAATATGGGGCATCTTATTCTTATTCTTATTCCTATCATTCCTATAATTTCTTTAAATTCAAAACAGGGTCAAATGGTGAAAACTAACAAAAGAAACCAACACTATCAGAATGTTTGTGTTTTGTGTATTCAAAACAGGTTTTGGATTTCTCTTTCTCTTTAGTCTGATTCGACTGGGACGACTACTTGTTCTATTGAATTACATCACTGTCTATCACTCCACCCTCTGGCAACACAATACTACTTTGTTCACTTCCAGTCAATGGAAATTTGTTTAATTCATGCTTAGTGTCTTCCAGCTTCTTAAAGATCGTTTCAACTTTGCAATAAAGGTAAAAGACCCTTTCCATGAATCAGGGGGGGGAAAACATTTTTTCAACTTAAATCATTTGAAAGTCTAAATTGAACAATCGATTTGCAGACAGTTCCTTGGGAAGGAAACATTACAACAATGAACTATAAACACACCACTCACATACAACATCATACAGCACACAGCAATGTTGGATTCTTCAATAAATTGTACAGGTCACGTGTAAAATCCAGTAAAATCCCACATATACTTTTTATTTGGCATAAAACATTATTTTAAGATTAGTCCAATCTTAGCACATTGCTGGGTTACAGAGGAGGTAAAAGCATTGCCAAGTTGTCTTGGCCCAGCTAAAAAGAATCAATCAATAGCTGCCTTTGTGTCAGGGATGCTGTGATCAATGTTTTATATCAAAAGGAGACCATTTATCAACACAAACAATTCACTGTGAAGGCATTTTCCCATGAAGTTTGAAATACAGAAGGACATATTGCTGCACAAATTGGTGTTGAGATATCTATGATGTACAAACAAGGAGACACAAACGTTTCTACACTGAGCTTCCATCACAGTCTCTCTCTCTCTCACATACACAATATCCCATCCGACACTAGTACACTAATCAGCTCCTGTAGCTTTGGTCTATAAATAACACTTCTTGCCTGCACTTGCCATTATGTGGTAGCACCACAATAGTAAGAGACTAACCGTGAATAAGATACTTGATCTAATTTTGGATCGAGGCCCTGGCGAGGATGAAAATATCAAACCACAGGACGGGGAAACTGAAAGCCTGTGCTGAAAAGCTGCTGAATTACTGAACATGATCCAGACCCCTTAAAGCTCTGCTGAATAAGAGATACAAGCCAAACCATTTTCAAGAGATGTCCACAATTTAAAACTGCATCCCTGTATTCCACACAAATATTTGACCTTTCCTTCTGGTATGTGACAAAAGTTTAACAAAATAGTTTGCAACTATGTACAATTGGGGGTATTTAAACATCAACTGAAGTTAGAAATACTATGGAATTTTGTTCTTACGTGAAAAATATATTTCTATTCCAATGTTTAAATCGCATTATAGCTCAGAGCATTAAAAAGAGCAGCTCTTATCAGAACGTTGATCAGAAAAAAGAAAAGAAACATGTCTCTGGATTGACTGGATGGGTTAAACCACTTCTCCTACTCAGCCTGCTCATGTCACACAACCCTTTCGTGGCTTTTTGGGCATTATTGCGCTCTTTGCTGGACTCTTTATGCAGACGCACTACACGGACAGGCGGCAGACCGCCCCCCCACCCCCTACCAGCCTCTGTCCCCTCCCACCGGCGTCCCCCGCCGCGTCTGGCGGCCACACCTGCATTAAACGGGGGGAGGTCCGTCCGGTGAGCAGCCGGGAGGACCGAGCCGTGCGCGGGGAGAGAGAATATGAGAGAGAGGCGGCGGCTCACCGGGGAGGACGCAGCGTATCCGAAACGCCGTGTTCTGTATCTGATCGTCTGGAAGTGAGTGGAGGTATGCACCGACGGAAGGCTCCGAGACTTTGTGGCCGCGCACACTGGCCGGGGATCAGGAGGAAAGGGAGCCGCGCGGAGCCCAGGCAGCCGGGGAGCAGAGCCCAGAGCGCAGGTAAGACGCGTCTGCCAAAGCAACATCCACACAGAATGTGGCTGCCCAGGAAAAAAGTTTTTCATTTCTATTTTTTTAAATCACTCAACTGTCATTTAATTAAATGATTTCAAATTTGAATGCGACTTTTATGCCAAATGATCTACGTCTCTGTGTGTATTGACATGTAGGTAAACAAACTTGTTATGAAATTGACATTCCTTCATATATAGTAACCGATTACATTTAGATTTTATAAATCTACATGTTTGTGAGTCTGCATGCTGGATTCTGTCATTGTGTTTGTTTTATCTTAGTGAATATGACTTACTTTCAAATATGACCTTTTATACTTTTTTCATCTTTGACTTGTAGAAAAAGGGTGTATTAAGTATCAAATTCTGCTGTTTGACAGTAAACATCGAATGAGTCTCATAGATATGCTATGTAAGGTCCCATCTGTGTCCCAGTATTTACTTGCCATTCAGCACCAGGTCATTTGAAAAAAAGTTAAAAATTAATCATCACATCAAAACAGAATGGTGTGACCACAATTCCAAAGAAAAAAATGGTCATATCAACACATCATGAAAATCCAGTATTGGCATAACTTTTCTAACATTAACAGTGAGCTGTGTTTAAGCAGTTTGGACTATCCTTTCTTAAATAAATGGTTTGCTTCCCTTAAAAACAAGGAAGTAAACCAACACTAACCTTTGGACTGACAGAGAAGGCGCACATTTACCAGGTACGTACTGGAATAGATGCCCATAAATAACTGTGGATCACCGTATCGTAGAGCAGCTGTCATATCAGTTTTGCTGCAATGTGGAAAATCCATAAAACACACATAAAGGAAGTGTTTCTGAAGCTTTATTCAATATTGTGATAGGGGACAGGTCAATACACCGCCCAGGCATGACTGAATGTGCTGCTCATATAGATGGCCTTTACTGTGTGTAAGTTACAGTGCGTAGCTTTCACTACACCAAAGAATACGCTCGGGGTCCTTTAAAGTGAAATCTAACCGTTAAAAACAAGTCAGGCTGAAAACAACATGTGATAGACCTCGTTAAGAAAGACCCTGAAGTCAAAGAGGAGTGCAGACGACGGAAGAGAAGAAAAACAAAGGCAGTAATAGAGTCAGTGGCACAGTTCTGAGACATATGTATAGGAGTTTGTGCGTTTGTGAGATGGACACCACGAACGCATAAATACAGAGTAAGAAGGAGGTCAGAATTAAAGTAAAAAGCTACACATTCAGGCATCACAACAGCAACTATACTGACTCTGTACAGGGGTGTCCTTGAACATATTATATATATCCATTTATGAGTTTGAGCAATCATAATTTATGAAAGTGGAATTGTTAAAAGGTTACATTGTAGAAAAAAATAATGATCACCTTGAAACTGCTCATTTAAACTAAAAGTTGCCTTTGACAAGACTTTTACTGTTATAATGTACTATAATGGTTCTAGATTTGAGTTTTTTTTGGAAAGCAACAATACAATTCTGTTATAATCTGTTATATTTGAACTGTCATCAGGAACTTGTGTCGTCTAAGTAGTTTGAGTATACAACAAGGGAGTGAAATGAAAGAAAACATTAAATGACTCTCAAAATTTAAACTTGGTATCACCAAAATTAGGACAACAAACAAAAACATCACGCAAGCATGAAAGTCAGGGGTTTATCACATTATTATTTTTCCATGGAAAATATCTGTTTGCTATCCTCAATTTCAATATAAACCACCACTGACAAGTTTTCAGGGAGCAGTAGAGGTACCCCTGGTAGTCAACAACGAGACAGATAGACAGATACTGAGCTTGCCATCTCATTCATCACAGTCTCTATCACCAGACAGCCAATATCAAACTCGAGTTTGCTAAATATCACCTCTAAATCCCCAACAGGACAGGAAAAGGTTTAGAAAAATGCTATGAAATGCTAGGAAAGAAAACAGAAAAGACAGCCCCTTTTCCCATCGTCAGCAAGAGTGAAGCAGAAGGGGACCAGCATGTTAATTGGTGATTTGATTAGTGTTTTAATATTGCAGCTGTGCACAACACAGGCAAGAAACTGACTGGTCAGAAGTTTTTTGTTTTTTTTAATCAGCAATCACTCCTTCACTTCAGGGACTGAGGGAATTATTACACAGCTAAGTCATTATGCACATCATTTAGTTTTTTTTCCCCTGAGAGAGAGAGAGAGAGAGAGAGAGAGGGAGAGAGAGAATTTTATTTGAATTTTTTTCCTTTTAATAACATTTCTATCCTTTTTTTAGAAACGGAAACCGTCTGACAGAAACACAAATACTCATGTCATTTAATATTAATATTAATATTCATTTGGCCCCTTGTTGGACACAGATGTCAAATAGAACTTACAGCCTGTGCTATTCAGCACCAGACAGAACTGGGCTTCATTTCTGTCAACAGCAGTGTCAGCTTCCACGGGAAGGAGGCAGCCCTGTTTGGAAAGATGGAAACATATGTCGTAGTAGATAGGAAATTCCTGCATTTTCACAAATGGTGTCTGGGCCATCTTGTCCTTTTATTGTTAACATCTACTTGGTGGGATTCAGTGAGCCAGATAAACATGTGGCATATCGGTGTTGACTCTGCAGCGTGAAAACAGGTGCTCGTATGTGCTCGCATATATTAAGCCGCAAGGGCATTTGAGTCAGACTACCTATCACCTGGACTCAGAGGAGGATCTGTGGCAAAGACGAGTAATCTGGTCCACCCCGTGCACGGCTCTCTCTGCAAACCAAAACACTGGCATTCACGAGAGATAAGAAGAAGTCACCTTAAAGGAGTGCTGGTGGTGAAACAGAGAGGCAGATGAGCAAGGTAGGGGGAAAGGTGCCTAAAGCTTGGGAGATAAGCGAGGGTAGGAGAGAAAACAGATGGAGATGAGGGTGTGTTTGTGTGTGGATTGTGTCACATGAAAAAGGATTTGCCTAGTCCAGTTAGCCGGGGTGATGTTCAGCCAGAAGATTAGAAAGGAACTTACCTGGGAAGGATGAAATAAAGCCACCTGAAATTAAATATAAAAGGTATATTTAAAGTGCCAAATAGTTTAAACCCTGAAGACATTGTGCTGGGATCTTCAAATCTGGTCCTTGAGGAGCGCTGTCCTGCAGGTTTTAGATGTTTTACTGCTTCAGCACACCTGAGTCAAATCAATGCGCCATTGGCAGACTTGAAGAGATCTATTCAATATAAATTAGGTGTTTTGAAGCGGGGGAACATCTAAAACCCTGCAAGACATTCACCCTTGAAGGTTAGATTTTCAGATCCCTGACCTAGAGTCTGCAGTTGTAGGTGGTTGCGCGTTAAGTTGTAATGCTCTAACTGGCATAATCTCATTTGTAGCAGAGGGGGTTCATGAGAATGTCATTAATGTTGTAAAAGGGGATGAACCAAAATAAACAATTAATGATTCATACAATGATGCTGTATGAAACAAATTCCAGGGATCTCTAGATTTCGAAAAAATGAATCTTGGTGGCCTTAACCAAATGTCACAGGATTCTAGCAAGTATATATGTTTTGACATTTCAACAAAAACTGCAGATGAGAAATGGATGTGGACACAATAAGTTTGTTTGACACTTATTTTTGACAGCTTTGACAATCGGCGTCCTTTTTGTTCAAAAGGAGGAAAGGAAAGGACAGAGTATTACTTTAAACCTTCCCATTCGACAATCCATTAATTTAGGAATGGATTAATTTTCTGTTTTAATGGTAGGAACACAATACAGTGAATAGAAATGTGAGTGTTGTAAATGGCAGCAGGACTCAAAGGACAAAATTAACTTATTTCATTACATAAATGGACACCTTTTAAAAAAAAAGGCTATTGGAGCTTCAGATACTTTGAAGCCCCTTATATGTGTCCTAGTCAAGCGGGGGTGGGGGGAGTGGGAGGGGGAAATGTGTTTTTAAGCACTCAGCCAAAATAAATGTATTGATGCAATCATGAAGTAAATGAGACTGAGTTTATATTATAAGAAGATGAGCAATGTTCTTTGCTCTGAGAGGCTGAGGAGCCTTTTGCTGAATTCACTGACTGACAGATCTGAGAGGAGCAGAAATGAGATGCAGTAGTTGAAAAAAACAGACCCAAGCTGGTTTGATTTAACATGACCAAAGTGCTCAGATGTGACTGGGGACTGCAGATGTATGTCACATTTCAGCAGTGGACCGAGATAAATGTTTGAATTAACATCCTCGACTGACTTGACGACACCATGATGTAAAGAAACGGAGACATTGGTGGGATGTGAAGACACTAGCAGGAAAGAGGGCGAATCTATCCAGCTCTAATAAGCTGGTGCTACAGTGTGTATTAATTCCAGCTGTCGCAGGTAAAAGCCTGTAACAATCCCGGATGAAAAGAGAGACAAGAAAGTAGCGGGTGAACATGAACTCTTTTTTTCTTTTTCTTTTTACCGTAATGCTGCAAAAAATCTATCCTGTGAGTGTCTCTCTTGTCGATGCATCATCTTCCAACCTATGCACATTGGATGTTTACAAAATTAGCACATTACATTTTAAGTCCTGTCCTGTGCATTAATGCACACATGCTCCAAAAACACCAGCAATGTGAGACTTCACACTTCTGGAGTGCACCAAGCCAGACAGCCATGGTTTAGGTGTTAAAGCAGTGGTGTAGCACTTGGATGAGAGTGGTTCCTGATATTCCTTTTGTCAATGTCCTTGTCAAATAAACTTTATTATACCTATATATGTACATATATAATTACAGAAGTATGTACCTACAAATAAGTTACATTTTGCCTTCCACAAGATCATTAACTGGAGCACAAAGGTTTTGATTTCAGATTAGTTTGCAGTAATTCAAATGTGTGTGTGTCTTTTTTCACCGTTTATCATGAAGTTTTGATTTGCTGAGGGTTTTTTTTTGTGGCACATCAATATCAGATGTGTTACAGTGGTGTGGCAGAAAAATGCAGATGTCTTTGTCCTGCTGGCATTATTGATCTTGAAAAAGGACAAATATGTGCTGTAACCTATGATTTTAGCACTTGTTCATTGAAGACATTGATTATATCATATTTCATGGTGTAAAGTACCTCTCAGACACAACAGAAAGCTTCGGTTGTGATCATTATCAGCCAGTGATTTGAAGATATGAAATCTGGAGGAAAATTTTAAATAGCTGTTTATGAGACATGAAGCACCAAAAAAACTAAACAATTAAAGACAACTAACAATTAAAGTCTAAAATGTGTCTGTTATGCTAATGCACCAAGAGTGATAAGTTACAACCCTGAAGACTCTGTAATTGTAAACCTTGGACACAAAGTATCACTCTACCTCTCTTTTGCTGCGTTGGCCTCTTCTAAGTTTTCAGCCTGCAAGGTCACCAGAGGAGCTGTGCTTTAGAGTAAAAAACTGTACTCTACACTCCACTTACCCGGGAAGCTTAGGGGATACCAGTATTCCCCCTTTGTTAGAGTGGCCAGCCAAATTCACACAGCTGAAATTACTGGTGCCTCATTTCATCTCGCTGTGTGGCTCTTCCAAACTTCTGTGCAGCAGAGAAAGTTGGAAACAGCAGCGATGCGTCCAAAGAAAGGAACAATTAGAGTTTTGGGATATTTTGTCATAAAAATTATGTTCAGGCTTGAAATCTGTAAGAAAAACTGAATGAATTCATTGGATCTCAAATGCAGCGAGAGTCTGAGGTGTGTGTTCAGGGTGAAACTTCTCCGGTGAAGATGTAATGTTGAGATTTTTAGATTTTGAAATGGCTTTTTCTTCCATATTTGTGGCTCCCAGTTCACTCAAAATGTTGTTTGCTACATTTAATATTTTATACACCTTCTGTGTGAAGACAAAACAAAGAACAAGATACCTCTGCCAATAACCAGAGCGAAAACATGTCAACGGGGGAAAAAAAAAAAAAACTCCTTCTGCTCTTGCAACTGAATTTTCTGCTGTGTGGTTTTTTTATCCAAAAGCCTCGGGTGTAGATGAAGGGGGAATCCATAGGAGTTTGGGAAATGTGTTGCCGTGGTAACAAAGCAATGCTTTCTACCCCCCCCTACCCATCTCTTCTCTCAGGCTCGCGCTCATCCCCTCTCCCCCAGTCAGGCGTTGATTCTCCTGGCGTCCCCACAGGCGAGGAGAGGGGTCAGGGTTGGCTCCATCTGTCTGTGTGATGAGCGCTGGTGCCAAGCGCCACAGGGGCGAGAGGGAGAGGGAAGCAGGCTCATGTGGAGTGGGAGGGCAACGGATGTTTCTGAGCTGTCATGTGGGACTCCGATTGGGGTTGAGGCTGAGGCTGAGGGCTGTGGCGGGAAAGAGGGGAAGGGGCTGAAGGAGTGGGATGAGGGAGTTGGAGCACAAGGGGGTGAGGACAGTGCTAAGATCTCACCACCGTTTGGGGCTTTTGCGGCAGGCCAGGCCAAAATATGCTGAATAGGTCTCTATGCAGACGAGCTGGATCTATCTTTCGTCTGTAGTCACAACGTATCCGGGGAGCCTCGCTCTGTCCAGAAACAGGAAAGAGACAATGGCTGAGTCAGTGTCTCTGCCCTCACTTTATGGATCATACGGGCGAGCCTAAGACATGGAAAGAAAAAAACTTCAGCTGCACACTCTGATCTGTAAATTTGTCGTTACAGACTGATCTATATATGTATATTTATTCTCTAAATGATGGAGTCATACAACTCTAAGTCATCATTGGAGATGGCTATGAATATCACGCTGTTGCTTCCGCAATTTGTCCACAACTTTAGTTCAGACTTGATCATTAACACAACTAATCAAACTTTTCTGCATCTTGTGGTCAATCTTTTTGGGGATTTTTGTTATTTCAGATATGAAGCCAACAAGCAAGTATTTCTAATGTCTGACAAAAGCCCATTTTGCATGAAAACAATTTGAATTTTCATATAAGTTTGAAAATAACATCTTAAAACATGTTGCAAAATTGAAAATAAAGTTGCATTGACTTCTGGAATTGGGTTATTGCTGATATTGATTAATGTTTTTGTTATCACTGTTCTTTATTCAGAAGAAAAAAGCAAAACTCAAAGCTTAGTAAATGCTAACTGGTTCATATTGCTGGATGATAATGTTTCAGCCTACTACACTACATTTTGCCACCAACCTGCTAACTATGTAAATATGCTGTTGGTGTGTCTCTTCTCTGTGAACTCCTTTGCCTTCATCACTGAATCAAACTATTCCTTCACTCCAAAATTACCAGAACTCCAGCCGCAAGTTGCTGAGAAATCTTCGGAAAAATAATTGTAAATCGTTACTTTCCTAACAACTATGTGATGACAGTCATTGAAAAGATTTAAACATGTCACCCCAGATGTGGGGCTGCGCAGTGGTGTGATGTACTCATATGTCCAGGCTCTTACCCAATGACACAATGACAACTGGGATTTGCTATATGTATGTGTGTGTGTGCGCGCATGTGTGTAACTACAAGTGTGTCACAGTAATGACAGCAGAGAACATTGTGTATACGTCTCAGTGAAGTCTTGGAACAGCATGGCAAGTTCTGAAGTGAAGGTAGTAGGTCAAAGACCCTCATAAGTGTCAAAGCCACTCTAAACAGCAGCTAGTATATTGCGGTTAATTTTATTTTTTGGACTTTGTTTTTTATGGAAAACCGAGTTTTGTGTTGTATGACCTGCTTTTGCCTCCTTGACAGTTTTCTTGTTACTTAAAAAGGAGAACGGTGGACAGTGAAACAGCGAGTTATTGATTTTCTAAAGATATTTATGAGGCCATTATGACGCAGCTGATGTGACAAGAGTTTAGAGGTCATTTAAGTTTTAAAAACGGAGAGTCTGATCCACTCCAGCAGCTTTCCCTTTACATGTATCTAAGGGGATCAGAGTGTGACAAGCACAAATGAAGTAAGATATAGTTGTGTCATTAAGGATTCGATTTCATCTTATGATCTTTGTTGCGTGTTGCTGCCTCCAGTTCGATCTCCCAGTTATTTTCTTACTTCATATTTCTTAATAAAACATAAACAAAGTTTCATGATGAGGCCCTACATGAATCAAGGATATCATTTCAGAATCTCAGGAAGACTAAGCTGATTAAAAAAAGATTGTTGTTGCGTTAACACCTTTCTTGCCTAGACCTCTAGACACCCAAAACACACACACGCACACTTCAATTACTGTGCTATTTCTGTGGCTCTACCTGTCAGTGACACTGAGCTGGAACCAGCTGGGATTAATTAGTGACTCACAAACCCACTGACACGCAAACACACACACACACACACACACACATCTCTGTCTTTCTCTGAGGAAAAAACACAGATTAACCATAAAACACAACTAATATCTTCAGACTTTACATCCCATTTATAGGTTTTCAGAATTCTTCATCTACAACGGCTCTTATAAGCACATAAACAATTTGTACCATCCCAATCCGTCATCAGACACAGGATGTGAAATCTTCCAGGACAGCTTGATGCCAATAAACACCCTCCTCCTCTGGTGTAATTACCCCACTCTTCACTTCACACCTTGTGTACGTACCCAGTATCTACCTTGTCAGGGTGCTGCTGCCGTGCCCCAGAACCAGGCAGCACCTGTCCACACCAACACCACATGTGACCCCTGAATTCATTTAGCTATTGGTTTAAAAAGCCACATTGAACACCTGAAGAAATCCACGACTGTGACAGCATTGTAACTCGCTTCCCAAGGTGCAAGAAGTAAGAAAAAAAACAAAAAAAACAGAAGGTTCTCAAGTCTGAGCACAATATCATGTTATCTTTGCTCAGGGTGTCATATGTTTTTTTCTCTGCAGAACTGTTTGTGCTAGCAAAACCCACAAAGGGTGAGGACGAGCCCTCGCTCTAGTCGGCTTGTCTTTGGGTGCAGAGGCTCACGCTGTGCCTGGCTGACTTTATAGAAATAAAGCAGATGACGGCTAGTTAAAGACAAGCTGTCGACTGCCGCAACCTTGAGGACGTTTGTTTGTGTGTTCATGCGTGTGCGTGCTGTATATGTTTACATGGTTGTGTTGAGGTTACGGACGACAGCGGAATCTAAATGCGCTGCGATAAGTCAAGGACCGAGGCAGAGAGGTGAAGTGATTGAATCCAGCATAGAATGTCAAATATAATGAGCCTAATCTGGGATGACACATCAGACAGTATACAGCTTTACATCCAGAACACTTACGGGAAGTTGAATTAAAGATCAACCGCTCTCAGAATGTAAGGACATGTTGGGTCTGTGTTTGGAAGGACAAATGCAAAAAAAAAAGTTGCAATTTCTGATGGTTTATTTATTCATTTGAATTGGAATTTATTTATGCTTTTTGAAGCAGCTGCTGTTATAGTGGCAGCGCATTACCATAGTAATAATGAGAGGGGAAAAAAAGGTTGCTAGTGTCAGGACAGGTTTTTACACATTCATAGTGGAGAGTTTCAGACAAACTGTCAGAGGCCAGATGTGCATGTATCTGCAGTTTGAGGGATTCTTTCTTTTTATCATCATCAACCATGAGTCTGGTTCACAGTCTGTTGGACCTGGCCTTCCTGCTGGACAACACTTCATTTCTAGTTGTTGTAGAGTTACTGATTCAGGAATTGTCAAGCTTTGCAGTCACTCTGTTGAACACATGCCTGTCTTATCTTTCAGATGACTGCTGTCTCAACGAAGAGCTAAACTGGAAATTCTGCCATCGCTTGGATCCTCTGCTTTAGATATTGAATCAAGAAGGACAAATTGCATCCACTGAGTGTGAGATATAAAGAACCACCCAAACATAAACACCAGACCGGAGATATTATTCACAACCGAACGGGTAAAGCTGCAATACACTGGGCTCAGTCAAGTCTTTAAGGGAAATAAGGCTGGGAATAAGGCTATCGGTTGGATTCTGCTTTCCCTGTGGTGGCATCATCCTTACCAGCAGGCTGGGAGAGGCGGCAGTATGTCAGAACTGGACAACTTTCCTCACCTGAATGGAGCCAGAGGCCCAGATCTGGACCTAAACGGACCGGCGGACCCGGCCCAGATTCAGCACAGCATCCTGGAGGAGCAGGTGGAGCTGTGGTGGTTCAGAGACCCGGGGAAGTCTCTGCTCTGCTACTGCGTGGCCGTGCTCCTGATCCTAGGCTGCGGACTGGGCGGCGTGGGCCTCCTCTCAACCACCACCAGTGTGTCCAGCGAATGGCGGCTGGGCGTGGGCACCACTCTGTGCCTACTGGCCTTAGGAGTCCTGCTCAAACAGCTGCTCAGCTCGGCTGTGCAGGACATGAACTGCGTCCGCAGCCGACAGCGTATTGACATGCTCAAGAGTGGCGGATTGTCCGACCTTCTGGTGGTTTTAATTACGGGGCTGTCGCTGTTAATTTGCGGAGGGGTTCTCCTACATCTGGCCCTGGTTAACCACATGCCAAAGCCCGGACAGGCCCTTAATGACATGTACATCTCTGGAGTGGTTCTGCTGGCTGGAGGGGGTGCAGCAGTGCTGGGTGTAGTGGTGTACACCGTCGTGGTCGTCTTGCTTGAGAGGACGAGGCATGGACGAAGGCTCGTGGATCAGGTTTTTAATATCTTTACAGTTTCAGGACACATGGACCGCCAGGCACGCCGAGAGACCGCCTCCAGCTTGGCTAACCTTATATGAGATGAAACCCTACCCAAGCTGTACATTGTGACTTCTGTCTCTCGTTGATTACTTCATGCCCAATTATTTCAAGAAAACTGAGAAAAAAAAAAGAGTTATACATGACATACCTCAACCTCAAATGTGGATGTAACAAAAGTAATTGAACCAGGAACATTTGCTTTGTGGTCGTGCTAGCAGTAGACAGTGAAATATCAGTCAATGTGTGTTTAGTAAATCCTAAACATGTGGTGGCGAGATAGTGAAGTTAGCTCTGGTGTAGCAAAAATAAACAGAACGACATGGAGAGGACTTACAAAAGGCGACATTTGAGGTGTTTTAGGATATACAGAGATTAAAGGTAGGATTTGAAGTTGGATACAGCACAGCTGTCCGCAATTGAACAAAACTAAACCAGTGGGGGATAAATCTACGAGGGAGCAAGTATCTTCTGTTTTTGGTTGAACTAAAGAAAATGACGAAGAAATTTCCGCCTTCTGCAGATGTATCTAATCTTAAAAGCTTTTAAATTAATCTTGCAGACAGCACATTTAAGAAAGTGTTCCATCTGTAATCTGTGCTGTCAAAGTGACCTTGTTTTACATTTGTGATCACTTGCTCAATGATTGTAGGCTGATGTGGATGGGACCACGACCCTAAATAAAACTAGTAATATGCAAAATCACTAATGTATAAAACAACATAAATATGGCCCATCCTCTTTTTGTCCATGTTTACATGAAATATAAGACAAATTCAGCTGGGGGTCTTTGATAAAAAGGTTCAGTGAGATTAAATTGATTTCTAAGTCGCATAACATTTTGAAATAATAATTGCAGTGCAACTATTGTATTTTGTTTTATGTAGTTTCACTTTTAACAGACTGTCAACACTTGCCTATGTCAGGTTGCCCTATATGTGGGACAGGAGACAACATGATTGTTGAACAATTTCCCAGTATCATGAGACTTCAGAATGTATGGATAGTTTGTCTGATGGAGTATCCAAATAGTATTGTCTAAATTGTGAAACGTGGAGCACTTTGTTTAATTTAATCCAGTGTTAACAATGTTTTTGATACTGTCACTGCATGAAATATTATCTGTGTAATTCGAAACGATCGCTCGTTATGTGAAAGTCATGAAAAAAGATCAAGCAAACTTGTTTTCAGCGCACTGTTTTTACTGTAAAGAGTGGTTTTGTTTTTGTCTGTCAGAAGTTTCATCGCAGTTCAGAAACATCCACATCTACAGTACATCAAGTTATTAAATGACAAAGTAGCACATATCTGCCTTTGTAAAATGGAGCAGATTGGTAATAAATAATAAATTAAATCAATGATTAAAAATCATTGTGGAAGGAATAGTTACAGGAACCAAAACTAAGGGGGAAGAGATCAATTAAGATGACACACACTTATCAAATCATCCACTCCCCTTTACTCTATCGGCAAATATACTTCCTTTACAAAAGCATATAACTATTTAAACAGAAAGGTTATCTTTCTCAATTGGCAAAAAGTGGTATTATAAATCATCATTCTTTAAGCGGTGAAAAGAACAGTTATGAAAACAAAAGATAAATGGAACCTTGAAGTGATTTGGTTCCTCAGAGTGTTCATCACTCTGATGGGCAGAACTGAGATAGTGACTGGAGCATGTTTGTGACAGCGTGGCCTGTGCCTGTTCATTCTCTGTGGAAAATCATTTTGCATTTCATTTTACTGAGGTCAATGCACAGATGTTGTCTACAAGCTACTGGAATGGTGATTTTCTCAAAAGATGCTTGGATTATAAAAATAGGATTCATTTAAAGAGACACTATCTGTAACTGCTTTGACCAGCCATGAGTGCCCACAGTCATGGTGGGCTGGCTGTGAAACGCTATTTGGGATCTGACGAAAGAACTACGGCAGCTGCATAACTCTGAATTCAGCTGTTAGATATACGACTACTTTGCTGTTATTGATAAGATCAAGCTGTGGAGCACGAGCAGAATGTAGGAACGCTTTCTGGATATTAGTCCGGTTTTTAGAAATTTGGTTCTGTTTTCAGTCTAAACTTTCACATGTTTTAAAGTCCCATATTAGTCAGACTTACACAGAGTGCACATACCTTTTTAAAGTGGCACGCAAACATGCTTACTTCTGTCTCAAGGAAAATTTCACACCCTTTTGAGACTCCTTACTAACATGCATCTTTCCAGAGAGTCCCCCCTCTACACAAAACTCTTAAATATAACTACCTTGTCAACAGCACAACCTGCACCTTGATACTAATCTGCACATCGACAGATTTAGCCAGACTAAAAGCAAAACCGCTGGGATGATTCTCCTCCCCAATGCGTCTGATTGCCTGTGCCGGGGAGCTGTGATCAACTCACAGGTGCATCCAGTTTGAGCTTGAGCCACCTGCTCAAACACATATCACATTCTCATTATTCTAAAGGTTGTTTTTTTTCCTCCAAGATCAGAATTATGACTAAGGTGGCCTTGAAGCATTAGAATTAAGCAAGATCATTTATTTTAAGTTGGATCATTTACTGATTGCTGAAGTCAGTTCTAAAAGTGAAGCCACTTCATTGTTCATCTTGGGATAGATTACATCTATAAACTCCATCGTTGGAATAAAGTAACCGTGCTGTGCCAGTGATGTCACAGTTGCCAACCAGATTGACTTTTCCTGTGAGTATTCAATAACGAATGAAAAGGCTTGTGGTTCCAAACACAAACCGTTTGTTTAGGTTCCAGATGACAACTGGTTCATGAGTTCAAAAATACATTTTCACTTTCACCAAGCTGCATTATTAGAAGTTATGTGTGTAGCGTGAATTTATTGGAGGCTTTTCTGTAATAAATAAGGGATCACAGTCAGTTAAATTAAAAAATGTAGTCAGGGCACATGCATCAACTCAAAGAGGATTGTCGGTCTGCTCAGAAATGAGATATATCCACATAGTGCCGACACAAATGCATCTATATATCTAGGCTTTCCTTTTTTATAAATGTTAGAAATGTTCATTTTGGAAAGATAAAATGATCTACTTTTTGGAAATATCAAATGGATCCTGCTAAGATATTAAAGAAGTTATCAGTTGACAGTTAAGTTTGTGAATTTTACAAAATCTCGAGCCTCGTTTCTTACATCAAATCATAAAAAAACGTCATGCATTTTGTTCCATTTGAGTGCTTATGTAAGTCACGCCTCTTATCTGTCTGCACAGACACGCAGGCTGTTGCCTTGAAACAAAAGGGGTCACACAGTTTACCATTGTTGGTTGGATGACTGGCAGTAAACTGAAGGGACAATGCACAAGGCAGTTATCCTTAGGGATTGGTATAGGCTAGCACCACTCTCTTCCTCTTGACACAGGGAAAAAAAACATGCTTTTGTTGCATTTTAACTGCATAATCAGAGTCAGAGTCAAACTGTAATCTTCACTTACATAAATCTGTCGTCTAACCTAGGGTGCACAAAGCTAGGCCAGGCTGTGTATCCATGCATGGCAGTCTGAGATCATGAGCAGAGCAAAACTGGGGCCAGACACATAGAGGAGAAACAAGGAAACAATAGTTGGTTTTTACAGAATATCTGAAAACTAAGACAAATCCAGAAAAATCTGTTTTGCTGCATTGGGGAACAATTCTTTTGAGACCCCTTCAATTCTTGTACAATTTTTTGTGTTGTACTAGTTTCATTATCTGGTCGTACAGTTGTGGTCAAAGGCATCCTGTTTGCTTTAATGAACTTGATGACGTGAAGATTTAACTTTGGGTTCAGCTATAAATTGTAGTTTTTTTAGTTTTGGAAATAAAACTTTTTAAGTCTTTTCTATATCAAAGGTTCACTGAAAACTCTAGTGTGGCATACATTAGCGCAGGGGTAAAGTAAAACAGTTTGGGATTTTTAAGTGTTACCGTGTGCTCAGTGTGTTTTACATCACATACATAAATGAAATCAGTTACCATGAACCTTCATACTTACAGAACCTATTTCCATCTTTCAAAACAAAGAGACCTGTCCACCTCCCTTCTACAGAATATGGTATTTCAAATGACTGCATGCCTATGTTTTCTGGAAACACTTTATTCTAACCTACTTTAAGGCCAGGCAATAATAAACAACTGCTATAACACAGTGGGGGCTTTTAGACTGTCCATTAGGAGAGTCACAGGGCATGATTTGATGGGATAATTCCTCATTTTGCCATGGTTTTATGCTTAATGAGCTGTAAAGAGCCTAGTGGGAATATTTTATCACCTCTTGATAAACTTGATTGGCCATTTCCAGTTTTTTATGCAACACAGACACATAACAAAATTACCATTAATCTCCTCTAACAAGGACATCAAATAAGAATTCACTGACTGTTTCTCAAAATGTAAAAGTAAACCATAGTGAGCATTAAACTGTGAAACATCAAATGTCTTTTACAGTTTGAATATTTAGAGCTCACTGCGCATCTGTCAGCCACAGGCACATTTAGCTTATTCAAGTCACCCCATTACTGGTGTATTTTAAACCTGGTTAAACACACTAACAAGGAAGTACAAACCGAAACTTTAGTCCACCGAACAAATAAAGAAACCACCAATGACAATTAAGAAGGATTCATAAAAAAAAAAGTTTATTTCCAAATATATCTCTTTGCCTCATTGGGACAAACAGTGGTTGATAAATTAAAGACAACAAATTATCAAAAAGACTAAAAAAATCCCCACTGGTGTCTGAACTGGCCCCATTTAAGATAAATGAATGATTGTAATGGAGGGATATAACAGCACGTGTCGTAAAAATGTAATGTATTCACAATAACAAACAGTGAAGAATGCCACAACCTGCTCAAACAGAGTAAAGAAACCACAGCAAAACAAAAGAGATAAAAAAGGGACAATAGAAATATAAAAATGAAAAAACCATGGAGAGACAATTACCCTTTAACATTACCCACTCAGATTCCACATAAAGCGTTCAAGTAATTTTATCCCCTTCACCTCCTACATAAACCATTATGGTTTAAACAACAAATAAATACACCAAAAAAATTATCTGCACAATACTCGTTCTTTGACTCACTGCCTCGGAGCTACTAAGCTGATTTCTCGAACAAGGACAAGGTTACAAGCCCCATGGGTCTGGGGTATTATGTTACACTGTCAATGCCTTTGACAATATTGCACCTTATTAATCATTGACCTGGTTGCTGGTGTTCGTTTCAGTGCACTGGGGATTATGTTCGCAGTGCTAATGGTGATGATTATTTCCCCCCTTTCTTTAGGATAGTGAACTGAAGTAGAGGTTCTTTGAGAGGAGAAACAAAGTTAGATACATCTTAATGAAATAATTAGAATAATTTATATGTATGAGGAATGAAAATGCTGACAGTTTAAGATTAAGATTATGTTATATTGAGGGGAACAAGCACACTGCAAATTTCAGCCTTTATGGCCCATTTAGAACAAATAAGTAAATCAAAAATATAAAAAATGAATGAAATACCACAGCTACTGTTTGATCGTAAAACATAATTGTTTAAATGATCATTTGACACAATGTTTGATATAAACTGTGCCATAGCTTGAGTTGTTATTCATTTTTCTGAAATATTATAGTGGAGTCCTGAGGAGTGTTTGAAAGTAGTTTCAGGTCAGTGGTGATGCAACACTCTTTGCTGTTTGAGCTTAGTAAAGGAATAAGAGAAGACGTCCTGCTTCCATTCATAGTGGGGAAAAACTTCGTATGCCTGCACGCACCTGTCCTCCACTGTCAGCGGGACAAATGGAGAGAACAGACACGAAGACCGACAGAGAGAGAAAATATCCATTCGTCTAGCAGCATCTGTGCCCTTTAGTTTGTCCGGAGCTGGTAATCTGCCAAGAAATGTAACAGCAGATAATTAATGCACATATTTCTTTCCCTCACATACATAAATGCCATCAGATAGCTATTACATTCAATATATAAGAAGTAGTTTAGTCTTACACAAGAAGGCATGTAGTAGCTTTCTGTTGATAAATTATAGCAATAATCATTAAAACTACGATGGAAAGTTGTCTATAATGTAGCATTTTAACACTACAGTTCTTTACGATGTTTAATCAGGAAAATCTAATTTACCAATGTATCATAGTCTGAAAATGTCTTATCATTTACTCTGCTATAAAGATATTCACAGAGGCATTTTTTTCTTTTTGTTAATTTACAAAAAACTATCTTTTTTAGCTAAAGGTGACATATTACATTCTAACTCCAACTTTGCAACATAAAACATCTCTGGGATAAACTGATGCTAGCAGTACTACAGTAAAATCACTATTAAAATTAGAAAAGGACAAACACGCAAATAATGGATATGAATACTCAAGTTGGTCATTTAACAGTGGTGTCATCACCCAATGCTATAAAGTACAACAACTTGTCATTAATAAGTCATTATCGTCAGTCTAAAGTATCAAGATATTATACAATCAGCACGGCAGTTGTACTGAGTGAAATTAGATCCAGGCCATCTCCCTCTCCATGGTGCTGATGGCAGCAGCCAGAGGTGGAAGCTGTATCACTAGTCTCTCTAAAAGAATCTCTTTCTCTTTAATTCATTTCAGATTTTGTCCTTACAATCTCCGTCTATCTTCCTTGCTGCCTTGCTGTGGTTAAAGCAAATAGAGGGACGCTGGCATTTGCAGAGTGCCACCCTGGGAGCTCCCTGGCATTTATTGGTATCACTGAACCTCTGCAGCTGTACGTCCTACCTGACAAAACCATGTAATGAATTGATGTAACGGTGTTGGGTTAATACCTGTGGAACACAGGCATGAAATATAGGGCGTTATGGCTGTTATCCAGCAGAGGAACTGGGTATTCATCTCCATATTATCTCTACTTGTGCACCCATTGTATGAAGGATTCTGCTGCAGTGTGAACAATATGCTAATATTTTAATGGGCCACAATAGATAAAATACAATGTTAATAATTTCTTTAACTAAAGATAGTATCTCATGTTAGTGAGCTGATGTGAGCTCAAAGCCGAGAAACACTTGATTCTTTCTGTCCTTGGTGTCACCCTTGAGTTTGACAGATATGGGTTCGTTCTCAGGGCAGCGGCTGAATCTAAACATCCCAGGTGGTTAGCATTGCTACACAAATACCTAGGCTTAAAATGAACAAACTAAACTATTTAAAGGCACTATGTCTTTAAATAACTGAACCTTTGAAATAAAAAAGTTGAAAAAAGAAAGGCTAGATTAAGACATAATAACAGTATGAATCTTAGAAAGATACCTTTAAATATTTTACACAAATAATTCAACTTTGGAGAAGATTACGTTAGCCTTTTCTGAAATCTGTCTGAACTCGTTATGTCTTTAACAGGGTTAAATGAGACCAAACTGCCACCACACAGACATGATGAAACACGGCTTTCAGGTAATGCTTTTTTTTTTTCTCGTAGAAAAAAAGACAAACAATTTTATACAAAAGATCAAGAATCCATTCAACTTTTCCCACAAACATACAATTAAAGTTCCCTTCTATTTTAAACTAGTTACACGAAACCGGCAGCGTGCATGTTTTCACTGCTGGGATGTGTTACATTCAAGTGCCTGATTTTCTCACCTCCACTTTGTGTGATGTAGCGTACCCATGGCAACGCCTGGTAGCCACTCTTCTCTATGATTTTTAGGTAGCGCACCTGTGGAACATCAACATGTAAAACAGGGTCATGTAGGGATATCGTTTCACATTAAAAAAAACATTTGTAAATCATACTTATATTAGTGTGTTTGCATTGTGCCCAGCAGTCCACTATAAACTCAATTTTAACAGAACCGTATCTCTATATCCCTATCTTTAGGTTTAGTTTAATGAAACAGCAAATCACAAGTGCAAGATTGGTGGAGATTCTTTCCGAAGTGAACTCATTAGACCTTAAATGCATATTTCCTGAGCTAGAAACTGTTCTTATTCCCACGGACGGCTTAATTGGGACCTGTATTGTAAAGTTTCTCATTAGAATTTCATGTGCTGAACTGGAAGGCACAAGGCCAAGTGTTGTTAAGGTGTAAATTAAAAGAAAAAACTGAAAAACCAGAAGGATCTCATCAAAGCACACCAGTGTGTGAAGGTCGAGCTGTGTAATGTTTAACTTGCAAATAAACGAGGAGGAAAGACTAACGAGAGACTGTAATGGGTTTAAAGAAAGAGCCCTACCTGAATGCCAGACACAGTGAAATAAGGGATCTCAAAATTAACTGTGATTGGTCTCTTTCCCTCCAGCTCATCACTCTCCACACTGGGTAGACCGAAGTGTGCCCGCATCACATACTCCTTACCCCCCTACAGACACACAATAAGAACACAAAGGTGGTTAAAAAGCTTCTGCTGCTGGATCTGGTAAACTATTAAATTCAGTCTAATCTTCATAAAAGCCTCTCAGGAAACAGATATTCGTTTGTTTTACTTCTACTATTTCAAACTGAATCATTTTGTCTGAAAAGAATACTCAAATTTTACAGCAACATGAGACACCTCACAGTCATAACAAGGTAAATCAACTTATGGGACTCAGTGTCAGCCAAACACGACTCCTGTGGACCAATAAACAGGTTAATAATCTGTCAAAGTATCATCTGAGGACTGATTTGATTATGTTTCAATTTGCTTTTATTAGCTGAACATCAGGACCTGTACGTTTTTTACCTTAAACTCAAATCGATTAAATAAAGTCAAGTTCTCATAGAAGATTGTAGTTCTACAGTGTTCAAAAGGTGGAGAGAATAAAGTCTCCTGAACTTCTAAGAATGAACAAACATGAGCCAAATATATTCCGACATCTAAAATGTATATGGTATGTATGTATATAGAATGTTGATGGTGGAAGAAGATGAACTGGCCATTTTGAACGATGTAAATGGGTTTGGCATATGAACAGTAACAGTTTGTTTATAACACACTAACAGGGAATGATTTGATGTTCCACTGCACCACGTTCTTCTCGGGCACCCACTTGGCACTGCCGGTGCTGGTCTTGAACTTGGGTGAGTCAGCATCACTGGGGACTGGCACCAGAATAGACACATTGTTGGCAGTGGACCGACTCTTAAACTGACTTCGAGCCTGCGGAAAGTGACAGAAGACAGGGTTCAGATGTCACCCGATGACTTTCCTGTTAGAAAAAAGAAAAATTCAAATGAACCACATCCTAATAAGCATGTAATATTTGCTAGATTTGGCTGTCGAGACATAAAACAGATGGTAAACTGCAAAGCACTTGAGATGCATGTGTCATAAATACTAAATAGATTTTAGTGCAGGGACTACTGCAGATGAGAGGAGGGCAATAGGACACAGTGCGCATATTTATGTTTCTGTGTCACTAATCATTACCTTCACTTTAATCTCCACGCGGCTGTGAGAGAACTTTTCAATCACACTCTCAATCCATATAAGAGGCTTCACCTGTCAGGGGCAGATCGAAACACAGGGGGGACAAGGTCAGAGGTGTGAGCGGGTAGCTGAGTACATCAACGAACACATCGCTGGAGTGATAAGTAAAACAAGAGGCTGTGCTCATAAATGGAGGGAAGATTGCAACATTTTATTCTGGATTAAGGACCAGAGGGCTGTTTCACAAAATCTTGAAGAATGCCTGGCGTAGTGCGGTCACTGCATCCCAGCGTCACACTTTTATTATCTATGCTTGGTTGAGGTGTAACCCAGTGTTTGTACTACAAAGCAGTTCAACATCATTAGTTGATCTGGCTACAGAAAGACTAGAGGCATTTTTAGTGGCACTTCAGTGCTGGTTTTAAACTTGGTAAACCAACCTAGGATTTCTGTTTTTGGATATGTTTGTGCTCATGTAAAACAGATGGAGTTGACAGCAAGACTAATTGCAATTATAAATTACTACCAAGTTGACAGGCAACATTAATGCTGCTGGCAAAGCAGGACGAAGAGCTGACAAAAAAAACGTTTAAAAAAAAGCTTAATGTCAACCTAGTGTAATTTAAGCAACTCACAGTTTGCGAGACTATTTTATTAAAAAGAATTACTGGCTGTTTTAAAAGCCTTCTACACAAATATAAAGAGTAAAATCTGTATGTACTGTATATGTATCATTCTCTGTTATCTGGGCTGTGAAGTGCTAAAGCTTTCCAGTTATTTCACATGGTTTAATAAACATTTCATAAGATGAAACCGCCTGTGCAGTCACAATTTGATGCAGCATTTCAAGATATATTAGCTGTTGGAATTGGAAAAATGGTGAGAACATTTGTTTGAGTTCAGTAATTGTATTATATAAAGGTATAATAATATCAAGCCAAATATATAAAAGTCAGCTTGTGAGCTAGGCCTACATAAAAGGCTTCTGCCTTGTGGTCAAATCTCTCCGTGCATTTCAGGTTTTTTTTTTTAACGTGTTGATCTCTTATCTTGAAACCGAGCTATATCTCCAAGGGAGGCTGGGTTTCTAACATAGATAGCCATGGTGATGCAATGCTGTTTTAGTAGAGGCCTCAAATGAGGCAATGTTATAATAAGCTTCAACTACAGCTTTCTCCGAAGATTGTGAGATCATGAATAAGATTTAAAGGCAGAAATCAGGGGGCATAGTAGCCGTGTGCAAGTTTACAATGTTCTAAATACACCCAAGATCTTTGTTCGTAGCAAACCTGAAATACTGACAATCTGGAAAAACGTATGTAATAGAGCTAACAAAATGCAGTCTGGGACACTTTAAAACAAAGCAATAAAAAAGACAAACATCCTTTCATCATCAAATCAACCGATCAGATGATTTAAATAGAATCAGTCAGTGAATTGGTTTTTATCACAAAGCCTGCAGCCACTAGCACAGGATGCTGATTGGTCCAAACCTATAAGTTTCAGGCACAAGAACATTCTTCTCATAGCCATGCAAATCTTGGAAGAATGCAGATGTTTTCGACGTAATGTGTCTGTTGAAAGGGTCAAGAACTTGCAGCAATGACAAATGAAAGGCCAAAATTCAATTTGTTAAAAATAAACCCCATGAAAAATACTAAGAATTGCTAAGTGTAATAAAACAAAAATGAGTAAATAAAATAAAACCATGAGTTTTAATGTAGACTGTGCGTGAAGTAGAGGAGGATAGTAATACTTAAAAATAAACATTTGAGGTAGTGATGTAGGTGTGAGACTTGAAGTATGCATGAGCCAAATGATTCATCTGTTCTTGGCACATGTGGCATGCAGGTGGCATGGGTATTTGGGTGTTATTCAGGAGGACAGGTCTGTCTGTGTGCGCGACTCACGGTTGTGTTGAGCCGGTACGACATTAGCTCACTCTCGCCATCAGGGGGAATAAAAGAGATGGTGCGGTCGTTCTCAAAGCGTGACAGACGGACACATTGATGGAATTTCACATCCTCCAGCTCAACTGTCTTGCTCTTCTCTCCTGGTACGCACATACAAACACAAATTTACGGCAAGAAGATTGAGAGCATTCCATACAGTCTTGGGGGAAATCAAGGTCAAGGTAATAATGACTGACAAATATTCAGTCATTCTCACACACTTGAATGCGCGCTCAAAGCAGTGTGCTATGGCATCCATCTGCCACCTTTGTCCCCAAGTGAACAATTAAGTTGTTGCCACACACCAGGATGCACGAGCTTTGCCTAAATCCCTGCTGCTATTGCCTCTTCCCCTAACGAAGCCTGATGACTTACCTTACAAACAGTCACACTTGCACTGACACATGGAACAAAAATACTGTTAGATGACCCCCCAAAACCAAGCAAAACAAACAATCTTATTTTTTTTTACATTAACAAAGTTTGCATTAAGTGAATAGGAGATTACATGCTAGTCTGACCTTTATATTTGCAACCTAACTACAATGTATTTCTTTGTCACTGCTGTTTACCATTAGCACAACATAGAAATCAGATCAGGTATTTGAACAGGCATTTCAACCAGCTTACAGGTATTGTCATTACTGATGAATAATTAAAGTATCTGTCTTGTGAATTCCACAAATCATTCTTTAAAATACACTTGAATTTTCCCAAAAATAATCCTTAAATGATTTGTTTTGTCTCAGGACTCCAAAACCTCTGTGATGTTTTCCAAATATTCCTCCCACAGGCTGAGCAAGAGAACAGACTCTTGAAAGGGCGTCCTCTTTAATGGCTACATCTGTAGTGTGCTGGAAAAACCCCCAACATTCACCTCCACAGTGGTTAATGGGGGGTGCTGAGTAGTGGAAAATGGCTGTAATGATTGTGGGCCTGTGAGCCCTCCACTAAATCCTCCCATTCTAAACTCAGCTATAGCCTGCCATACCTGCTCTGAATGCTGCCTTGGACCATCACGAAGAAAGAGTGAATGCATGTAATTATGTGCGGATCTTTGTGCATGCAGCTTCCTCACTCATTGTTCTGACTGTGTGTACGTGCAAAGGTTTATGCATGCCTGCGATTGCAGTTGTGGGAAACTTGCTCATTTGTCTATTGATTTTGGTTCAGTGGGTGTTTGCTTGTTTGTGTGTGTGTGTGAGAGAGAGTGAGTTAGTGTGCTTATGTTTGTGTTTGAGAGATTTCTGAAAGTCAGGACTTTGTAAGGTCGGGTTTTTAAAGAACATTTTCATTGTAAGCTAAAACAAAGTAGCCATTTAGCTATTTTCCCCTCTTCCAGTATGTTTTTAAGCAAGTGTCACAAAGAAAAACATCACTAGCACGAAGGATTATCAACACAAGACAGGTAGGAAAGGTCACATGGGACATGCTGTGTCCCTACATGGGCCTTAGGGGCCAGATGAGGAGGCAAGAGTGTGTGTGTTCATGTTGGAGGCAGATTGAAAATGCATTGGCGCGTAGTTGAGCTGGAAAGACCTCTGTAAATGCATTTGATGCACAGCAGTAATCTGGACCCCAGTCTGTTCGCTGTGTTACAATAAACCAGGTTAGAATGACATTTGGTAGATGCCCAAAGCATCCAACCATTCCTTGCATGGCCATTTAATCTTTTTAAATGGCAATGTTTGTGTCTGTCCTTTGTTTTAAAGGGTTGTGAAAAAATAGAAGGTTGTTTTGAATTTTTATGAATTCATCACAAGTAATTAAAAATATCACCTAGCTTGTGATTTTTTGCTGCCAAAAATACATTTACAAGCATATCCAGTCATAAATAACTGAGATGAGACATGAGCTTGTCCCATCAAAGAGTGCTTGCCTTTATACAAAACTAAAAAGCTAAAAAATATCAACCTGGTTCAAACAAATAGACATGGTGTGTGAATCGGCATCCACTGATGGAGCAATCAAATTATGTAAATGACTGCATGTTTCATATAAAAGACACATTTTTTTAAACTCTTTTTTGTGGCCACTGTTGTTAAGTACAAAAGTTCTTCATTGGCAAATAAAATAATATCACTTGTATGTTACGTATTACAGTTCATGTTGTGTCACTTCTGTACTTCTGCCAGTGGAGGGCAGCATTAAATGATTTAGAATCTCACTCAAAGGCTAACTCCATGCTGGGATAGTAAGTACAGTGCAAGAATAATAATTACAAAATACTAGGAAATGATATGTAAAAAAAAACTACTAAAGATGAGAAACGATGTAATATTTGCATTAATATGCAAAGTTAGTGTGTTGGTGTCTGCCAGAGCGTTTGATCATTATTTGTGATCAGCATTTCTGTGGATTTTTATTTCCCACACTGCAGCACACAGCAGGGGGGTTGTGGACTGCAACCACAGGATAGCCACAGACCCTCACCTTTCATCTGCAGGGCTGTAGCCCGGGGTGAGGATTAAATCAGAGGCAAAGAGGCTAGACAGCGATGGCGTCTTTTCCCTTCAGCGCGGAAAAGGCGGGGGTAGGGGGGCAAATGTAGGCTAAGAAGTGTAAGAAGAGTAGGAAGGAGGATGTGTATGGAAAGGCAAAGGAAGAAGTGGCTGTGGGAAAACACTGATGGAAGAAATTAGCTGGCTGAGAAGGGGAGGTAGAGGAAGGCAAGTGCTGGGATTCAGACTGAAACAGGAAGTTAAGTATGAGGGTGAGTTCAAGGTGAGAGTAGCCAAGAAACAGCTGCCAAGTCATCAACAAGCCAATAATTCTATACTGAAAGCACGATAATTTTACTTCATCAGGAGCACCCGTAATTCTTTGAACATGGAAAATTCTAAAATAATATGTAGAATGAAACATTGTGACAATATCACATTCTGTCATAAATAGAGCCATAGCCTTAAACCTCAGTTTAAAAAGTAGAGCAAACTTTCTCTGTTAATGCTTCCAATGACAGAAACTCGTGAATCCAAAAGGTACCTACTTCCTGTGATCTCAAACAGCACTTTGTCATTGAGGCCCAGTCTTAGTTCAGGCATCCCCGACAGCACCACTTTGAGCTTGATGCTGCCCACTATTTCACTGCGCAGCACACTGCCATTGGCACTCACCTTAAGACAAAACACAGAACCATTTTACATGTTATTTGTCCACGTTTGAAGAGTATGATGAGAATTCAACAAAAATAAACATATATCAAGGCATTCCATTTAACTTTTCACTTCTTTGCACTGAGGTTGAAACAATGATTTCAACAATGTAGAAACAATGATAGACAATGTACAAAACATGTTTCAAAAAGTCCCTCCTCACAGAAAAGGAAGTTGCAACTACAGCTTTATAACAGTGCTTAAATTCCTTACCATTAGTAGTTTCCTCTTTACTGACAAAAAACTGCATCTGAATGTTGAGATGTGACTCAAATGTCGTTCAAGGACAAAACATTTGGGAGGAGAGTCGCTTTTGCATTTAAAGAATTAGTATGTTCACATTCACAAATGTGTTTCTTTTAATTTGCTGCAGGACATTTAAAAGGAAAAAAAACTTTCTATGGTTTGAGACATAATAACAGCACATTATCACATTGTAGTGTTATTACATATTTTAGCTTCAGGGAAGGCAAAATGTTACGACTACAATGAAGAGGAAACATTATTTAGGCCTCATTTATACACTATAATTTAATAATTATTCCACCAAATTATTTTATGATTTAAAATATTTTAGTGGTTACAAGTTAAGCTGAAAAAGCAGATTCATCTTGTTTTTTGGGTTGAGAATACTGACATACTTATTCATTTACTGACTTCTCATAAAATGCAATCTGAAAACAAAGATTCTGAACCAGAAAGGAGGATTACTGACAAAAGAGACTATTTCCTTTATGATTCAATTCAAGGAAAGGGAGAACTACGTGGAGCCTGCAAAAACAAACCAATGTTCTCACACAGATGTTTTTCACACTAACACAACAACTTTCTAAAGGAAGCAATCTCTAAAACAGGATATATACATACATATAACCCATAAGGGAGAGACTAGATGTGCCATTAGCTTATTTTAAGCATGTTCAACTTCTTGCAACTTTGTCTACTTTTGGAAATAATATGTCTAAGATATATCTATTGTACATGTGAAAGGGGGATGGAAAAAAACTCTTTTTGTGCAGTTTTCTTTATGCGTTGGAACACAGATGAAGCAAGCATTGTCCTTACCAGGAGATTTACTGACTCGATAACATCCATGAAAACCTCATTTTTTCTGTATTTGATGCCTTCTGACCGCCAAGACACAGCATTGGTGACGGTGGCAGGTGGTCGGGGTGCACCAACCTCGAGCTTATGGCCCTGCTGGGTGATGTATCTGAAAGAGACAAAGACGCAGAAAAGGTACATTAAATGTGCAGCTGTGTCCACAATGTCAGTCCTGGTGAGTGAGGCACCTGAAAAATTACTCTAATGCATTCACCAGAGAGAAAAAAAAGAAAGCTCCAAACTTTCAGAGAGTTTTAAGAGGACATTATTCCTACTTGCGAGATAAAAGCTAGTGTGTTGAAATATAATTCCATAAAAACTTGACGAGAGAGAAAAAAAATACTTAACTAAAACTAATGGGAGAGGGTCAAAAAGGTGTGGATTTACCAAGCAATATGAACATAATCTTTCTCGATTCTTGAGGAATCGTTCCTACTTTACATTAATTATACCTCATGACTTAAAACAAATTAGTTGCTCTGGTGTAAATATATTAAGGGGCTTTGTTTTAATTTTGTTGGAAGACCATTCATGTGTGTAATTGGAAAACAGATTTACATAAATCTATTGTGACTGTAGTCAGGGATAATGCTGTGGCACAGGCATTTGTTGACTATTAGGTATTGCTTGAATAAGTAAACTAAAGCAAAAGTCCTCTCAGGTGCAATGGGCCATGAAGGAACACTGAAACAGCTTTAATTTATACCTTTAATTAACAAATATGTATCATGGCATTTAAGTACAACTGATAATAGGTTTGAAATGGTACTCAGTGCAACTGATTTGCACCACATGGTGCACACAAGGTGAAGTAATGCATTATGGCTAAAGTATACAATTCATTCAGCTGACTTCACTACACACTTGTTGGGTGCCTGCAGCAAGTGGAATGTAACGAAAACCTGCTTATAAAAATGTATGATTTTTAAGCCTGAATGCAGTAAAGATTGATGAGTTATATCACATTCCCCTCGTAGTCTGATGATTAAAAAGAGAAGTGCCCCAAAGAACAAAACAGATTTTTCAGATGTTGTCTTTTGCAGTAATTCAGAGTAGGCTGAGCAATGGTTTCAAGCTCAACACCAGTCTGATCAAATGTCCTCTTTAAGTTTACTGTGTGATAATTCTGTCAGAAGATGTAGTGGTTATAAAAATTCAGGATTGCATGCAACAGTTTGGAATTGTTTTGATATGATCCTTATGGACTGATTTTCAGTCACAAATTCTGGCATACTGGCTGTTTCACTAAATAATTAGAGCAGGTTTATGGGGAATTTGCCAGCATTAATATACACCAAGTTAGAAGAATGTAAACACATCATTTTTAAGGGGACCTTTTTCAGTCACATCAGTTTTTTTGTTGATTGGCAGAAGAAACAGAATAATTTGTAAAAGAAAACAGCTTTATGGTGAACAAAGCTAAATAAAATAGATTGTATGAGTGTACAGAGAGAGATAGAGAGAAACAGATGGCTACAGCCAATTGTCTGATATATTCCCACCTTTCCAAAATAAATGCTAAGAACTATTGTGCGTTGATTCCTGGATGAGTAAATTATACATTGCTTTCATAATACCATCACATTGTAATTTTATACACTATATTATCCTCTATAACAAAAATATTAGAATAAGCTTTTAGTCTTCAAGTTTGAATTGAATTGATACTTAATTTAATTTAAATCAATGCTTAACATCACTTAATACTTATTGGATTCACTCAGAAAGACAGATAGATCCACTTATCCTCATCTCTTTTTGACATGATTTGTTTCCCCAGTCCTTTATTTCTCCAGGGAGACCTAATGACTTGTCATGAGAATAAGACCGAGCTATACTCAGATAAACAACATGTGGCCAGGGTTGTTTTCATTCAAACACCTGCCTCCTACCACTGTTTACTTGATACTGTTCTCATTTCCTTTGCAGGCCTGTCCGGGTTTTGTTTTTCACCATCGTTTTTTTTTTTCTGGAACATTATGGAGACCTCAACAGTTATTGCAGTTTTGTCTATGATTTTTTTTCTTTATTGGGGGGACAAATGTGAAATGTAAAAGTGAATTTATAAATTGTATACAATATATTTAAAAAAACTTTATTTCATGTAATAATATACATTTTGAATGGACTGCTTACGTTATCATGTAGACTGATTGTAATGAATATTAAACACTCAAGTCACTTGAGTCTCAAGTATTTACAGTTAATGGAACTTAACAAAAACAGCATGTCAATTCCAAATGAATTATGCATGTGTGGAGTATGCAAAGAAAACATTACAAAAGAGCAAATGGTACTTCAGTCATTTGATTATACACATACTGAGAGTGCTGTTGACCTGCACTTGAACTTACAGTGGGGATTAGTTAATATTCACCGAAGGATTTGATACAGATGTTGTGCAGCCACATGCAGGACTTGATTTGCTTTAGTTAAGCCATTCATATCGAACACCGACCGACACACCACAAAGACAGCGATCCAAAGCGCACAACCTGAAGCAGAACCCAAAGAGCTTTGCTGAACATTTCAACGTCAGGTTGCTCTCTCATCACATCTGATTCCTGGGTTCCCTGCACCAACATGTCAATGTGTCCGTGGACAAGATGCTGAGCCAAATCTTCCATCTGTGTTTGACTATGGGCAACTGTGAAATTTGTGTAGCCTGTAACGTTGAATAAACTCAGAAGTGCTGTGCGAGACTGCACCAGTGGGTGAATGTGGTATGTAGTCTGCAGGTGCATCAAGTGGCCAATTACACTGAAAAGCACTAAGCACAATCCATTTGCAATTGAAACAGTTGGGAGCTCGGGACCATTACAAGTAATTCTTAGTCCTTTTGCAGACCATCTGGTAAAATCAGAATGACTTGTCATTTTGCTATTTAGCTTATTTCAGCCTAACCAAAGCAAAATATCACACCCTGAACAATATAAGACCAGTTATTAAAAATACAACATTTTTAGAAAATCTCTAATGTATAAATTTCAAATGACAAATGTTAGGAATATTCAATAAGAGCAATGTGGAGTTTTGCTTTTGGTCATAGTGTATATCTAGGTCTTTATTCTTTGCTCTATTTTTTATATCCTATTCCTCCTGAAGCGGACATCTGCTTGGTTGTGCCCTCTGCAGAGGCAATAATGCTCTGAGTGGTGTGAGCAAAACAAAACAATAAAACTTTAACCAGACAGCTAAACAATGAACAGTAACCTGCTGCAAAGTCATACGAAGCCACTATGAACTTTTGATTTGCATGACGGCCCTCTGTTGTCACTTGACTTAAAGTTAGAATAAAACTGTCAGCCATAGCTGCTGTAACTAACTTTACTGTTTGGACTTGAGCCAAGTGAAGGAAATGCACGCAATCAAATCCTGCTGATGAAACAGAAATTCTTGTTTTCATTTCAAATGTAAAATTTCAAAGGGGAAAAGTGCTACACCAACAAGTTTAAGATTGATTGACAGATTAAGGCAAGAGATTCTCCCTTGTTTTCTGTTGCAGTCCCACGCACTGAGACTTGGATGCTTGCTGACATGTAGAAAAGTCTGCAAAAGCAGAGATGAAAAGCTACGACAAGTGGGCCTAGGGTCGATGTTTGGTTGTTCTGTTGTTTTACTATGTTTGTGGTTTGCCCTGTTTCTCCTCAGAAATGCTAATGAAGGGATCCAGAAGTGGGTTTGGCAGCAAACTGACAGATTAGCATAACAATAGCAAAGAAACACAAACTATGGTTCTACAGTCCTGACCTTACTAAGCACAACGCCCAAACATGAATAATGATATATTTTGCCTCAACGCATATGACTTAAATTGCCTTTTTTGTAGATTTATACAGACACGCAGGAAGACAATGTATTGCACATGTAGTCAGACGCTAACCCATTAACATTAAATCAGCTGCAAGGTATAAGAGAAAAACTGTGCTTTTGTGGTGGTTGGGTCATGAAAAGGTTAGAGAACTGGAGTAGCAGCCTCCAGAGGCAAACAGAGTGAATATACGTGCGTGTACTGTGTGTTGATGTACAAGCGTGTGTGCACCCAAGACAGAGATGACAATTGTGTGTCTCCTTGGAGAGAAAAGCAAGGCTTTTCTCTGTCTGAGAGTCTTAAGTGTGTCCAGCTGACGGTGTCATTGTGTATGAGTGCCAATAGGAGCCTGGCAATTATCAGCGCTATTCAGACACTGAATACACAAACTGTACACACACACACAAATGCGTGCGTGCGCACTGACACGCACACACACACACAAATACATACATAACCAAAGCCAAGCCTTAGTGAAAAAAAATTGCAAAACATCAATCACATTTTACCAGACAAAGCCCAAAGACACTAGAGGGATGATAATAATTAACAATGCACTTGGCAAAAGTGAATGCTACAGTTCATTAAATGCAAAGTGGATCATGTGCTCAGTGATCCCATGTTACTGTATGGAGGACACAGAGTGGAGGCTGAACCCTATCTACACCTTTACTACAAAACATGGCTGGAACCAAGACTAATAGGAGTTACTTTCCTCATTGAGAATGTTCCTAATGCCCCTCTACTTACCACAACTATGGCTCCCAGTTGTTTTCCACTGAATGAAACAAATAACCCCACTGTGAGACAAACTTACTCATTTTGTGTTTTTATTCCCTTTCCACTGCTCACTTTCACTGCATGAAATAGAAAGTTAAAAAAAAAACTATATCCCTGATGGATGAAAATGGCACAACTTTAGCAAATATTACATTATTTTAAAATCAGACCAGAGTGCAGCAATTACTGCTTTGAGAATATGAAACTCTAACCTTGTTACCTTATTACCTTACCAAAAACCTCAGAGTAAAAACGCCTGCGGCATGCTTTGTCTGTTGAAAAAGCTTTAAGAAAAGCCAACCAGCCGTAGCTGAAAGTGTGTCAGACTCACCTGCTCAAGACAGCACAAATCTGAGTAAATGTGTTCTTAAACTTAAAGATCACCACTGCATTGAGGATTCTGGTTGTGCTATACGTTTCTTACTCTTGTAGGATCTTGCTCTCAGTTGTCTGGGGGAACCCAAAATCCATCACTTCATCCATCAGCTCATACACTGTCACAAAGTTGTCACGGATACTCTCCTCCTCAAGCTCCTTAAAGTACTCCTGAAATACCTACAAAAAAGATACACCGGCTTTTAAATAATAAGCCAACAAACATAGCAGCCATAGCTAACTATTTACATTTATTAGAGACAAAATTGAATATTTTCAGAGCTGAAGGATATACAGAAGTGTGTGGACTTAAAAAAAATCATAGATGACATTGATAAGAAGTAAGATGGTAACTTTGTAGTTTTTCAATAATGTACTGCCAGTCTTACTTTAGACTTACCTGTACTATTTTATAAAGAAAGGAGTACACAAGAGCAGCATTGGCATTCTTCTTAGTCATCGCCACCACTGAGAGAAGAGCTGTTAAGGAGCAACACCACATCTAAAAGTGTCAGAAAGGGAAACTGACCATATGAATAAAATACAAACTCTTAAATTTAACATACAGAGAGGCTATCATAAGATGAATGCAACACAACAGAGTTAGAATAAATTACACTCAAAAGCAATTAAGAAAACAGCTCAGCTGTCTCATGCACTATCCTGGGAATGTCAGTTACTCACATCTGCAATAACTCACAATAGCAATATGATGCTAAATAAATGATGTCTGGGGGGGGGGGCGGGGGGGTTCACTGCACAATCACGCAAAGGACAAAGGTGGATATATTATACAGTGAGTGACCCTAATACATGATTTCTTAAAACATATACCAAGAAGTCTAGAAGCTGTCTGCTACAGACATCAGACACATGACTTCCTGCGCTTTGACTATCAGGTAAAAAGGAAGACTGTCCATCAGTCTGAGAAAGTGCACTGAAGTACTCATTCGCAGATGAATACAGAGCTGTATGTGGTAAACTGCTAGATTTACATCTCAAACACAACAAATAAGCCCTCGTTGGATACAGTAAAGGTTGCTGTGCTTGATCCACATGAAGTGTGCTGAGCCATGGGTGACGAGTGGCGTCATCTCAGCATCTTCCTCCCTCTTCATCAGAATGGGCATAAAGTGGTCAATCTCATTCATGTCCATGTTCCCCATGTAGTTACGGCAAATCAGAACCTAGTTAGAAAACACAAAGACACAGAAAATACTGAGGCAGGAGACAATATTATAGTGAAACGACAGTCATTAAAGATTCATGGGTTTTGGCTCAGATACCAAACCTGCACTACAGCTTAAAGATGCTTTAGGAAACCAAAAAAAAGAGAAAAACTCTAACCTCTCCACGCTCAGCTACTAAGCAAAAGTGCAAACTGTGTTTCAAGCTTTGAGCCTATTCTTTGTAGCTTTAATGGACTGATGGGTACCTTATCATGAATGATGAATGACTGCCTTTTCACAGAAGAATCAGAGCCTACTGAGTCCCGGTCCGTAAGATCATCATGCTGAAACATCTAACAAACCACACTGTGCTAACTATGGCCTCAAAGTGAGCCTTGGTGCTTTGCTAGGTTTAAACATTGTGCACACCAGTGTATTAAAGATAATGATTTCTCCAAAGTCTTTGCACTCTAATGTTATTCTCAAATGTGGGTGTGTTTACACTCACTGTGTGAGCCTCTCCCACCTTAACTTCTGAAAGACCCACCCTGTGTGACATGCTCTTTGGAAAATCAACCAGTAATCAAAACTGAACAATAGAATGCAATAGATTTTTTACTAAAAGCTAGGATATCTATATGTCCATCTATCCATACATTCTAAATGGTCACTTTCTCTTGTAAAGCCACCATGTTTGATCTGACTCACAGCCGTGTCATAAACACACTTTCTCTCTGTATTTGTGAATAATGTGGGGATTATCTAACACCATGCAAAAACTGAAAATGTGAAGTTCTGACAGTTGAATGCCAGGCTCTGAACTCTGAAAATATATCTGGAGCTCAAAATGAGGGACTTCATGGTATGTTTACCCATGCCTTGTAGATTCTGAAATTTACGTGACTTTGTACGTCAAAGCCTGTGTGACTTTACACCAGTCTAACAGTATATATTTACACAGAAAGCAAGTATGAATGAATTATGTCTGACTAACATGTGTGAAAATATCAGTAGCACGGTCTGTTTTCACATTCTGAGCTGTCTTATTTTTACTTTCTATGCATAATGTCTCTCAGAAAAAGCCTACAATTCTTGATTTAAATAGACATACACAATTATACTTTCACACACCAAGATGAGTCAGCAGTCTTACTCGACTCTGGGAAAAGATAAAAGCTCCTATGCTTGAAGGATCATGATGACACTCTCTCTCACACATACACACAATGCTTTGCTCCCTCTTTAATAGAAGAGTCTGTTGCACGGGGGTCACATGAGGGCAGATGCAACAAAGGCAGCAGGAAATAAGAAATAAAAAAGGACATTCCAGCAAAGTAAAGTAATCTGGGGAAGAAAAGGGATATGATCAGGCTACTGCTCAGGTGGTGAGAGGGGATGGAAACCACACAGCGAACAGTTCAGAGGTCACTGGAAAAAGAGAATGAGATATAGACACCGTCTTGTATCAAAAAGAGCCTCAATACTGAAGGTCCTGAAAGAAAAAAATAACTGCTCCCTTGACTCACTTTGTAGTTCTCACTACACTAACAGAGAATGGTAGCCATCAAAAACATATTCTTCAAAAGTAGTCTGAACAGCAGGTAATCTCTAGCTACCATTGGCCTGAATCAGAATCATAATAATATATATTTTTAAAGAAAATTCTTCTATGCCAAACTGTAAATTCAACAGTGATAATAAAAAAAGTGGAAATCTGCTGGCTCTGTTTATGTAACACAAATCGCAATAAACACACATTAGACAGAAAGGGGGCACTATGGACCATATTGCTACACAGATCCCCAAGCACCGACCAGGTTTTGGAATTAGAACCTACTCAGCCATGCTTAGCTTTACTTGTCACACCACGACTCGTCTTAGGTGGGTTCACCTTACAAATGAGGTCCGGACAGAAAGATGGAATCACTGGCCCATGACGTCAGTTATACGCAACATGTGACGTCGGTTGTATGCAACACGTGCACGAGACGACAGGGACAATATACCGGCTGAACCGCCATGTATGACACATTTACACCAGTGATGATCATATAAATCAGATCAGATATTTTTTGTTGCCATATTTTCAAAACAGGCGTGAGGGAGTCATGCTTGCTCAGTCATGTGACTCCCTGGCCAATCGGCAGCAGGCGGTGTGCTGTCGACCTGACTCAGCCTGATGAAACTGGGACTGTTAGTAGGCCCCGGCCTCAAGCGGAAATGCGAAAAAATGAGTAGAGTCGAGCCACGCTGCGTAGGTAACTGTGGAGAATAGCCTTACAAATACCCATCCAAAATCTAAACATTTGAAGATCTGTGCGCATGCACAGAGAAAAAAAAACATTAAGACTTACCCCTTTCACTCATAGTCTGACTGGCGCCTTTTCATACACAAAGGAGACGAGTGTGGCTCAGAGTTTATGGACACAGAATTTTAAAATAAGAAAGCTAGCAATTATCAAACTGATTAATCAGTCAACAGCTTTTACCTCAAATTTGCCTCACAAATGTAATGCCATCTGCTATGTTTTCTATTTTAGACATAAAGCTATCAATGGGATATGTCAATTAACTGAAATTTAGTGAATGAATCAGACAGCTATGTAATTAAAAATGATCTTTTTAAAAATATGCTTGTGCTGATGCATTGATAAAATAAAACTGGTCTACATCAACAAACTCCTCAGCTAAGAAAGGCCTTGGTGAGGTCATTAAGACCACTGCAGAGGGCTGAAAGGAAAACTGAAAAATAACTGTCACTAGATCAATGATAAAGTCCCAGAAATCACATCAAACATTTCTCTGATGATGAGCCATGTAAAGGTTGACAGCTTTTATTTCCTGTCCCTGTTGTATATATGTTTGTGCAGAACATGTCATTTGCCAAACAAAAGCTTGCTTTTGAGAGACACTTCAGGCAATTTTATGAATATAGGAAAGTACCATCATTCTGACAATTATACCCATGACAGATGCAGTCAAAATGATGATTTTAAAAGACTACTAATTCAAATATGCAGGAGTCAAAATATTTGTGTCAACATGCTGGTTTAAATGTGTGTCATATATACAAGAAAACATCAGAGTGAAGAATATTCTGAAAAGCTGAATCCATGACAAAAGAACACCTCACACAAACGGTATATCCACTCCTAAAAGAAAACTAGAGCTACTTAATAATGCAGGTCACGTTAAGATCTAGTGTGTGCCGTTACATCCAAGCAAGTAACTGCACTGTCTGTTAAGAATAGACTATAATAAAGTGCGTACTGTTGGCTTTTTGACATGCTCATTGTGAGTTGCTTGAGTGCATGCTGACTGGGGTTTGGAAGACCAATATTTTTAACATCTACAGCATTCTTCTGATTCTAGTGTCTGTAAGCAAATATATTTTACATCCACAAAATGTAGGAAATATATTTAATTTAAAGGAACTAAAGGAAAAACCACACTGACAATAAATACCACTGTTGTTTGAGTCTGAAATACATATGAAATCCTGTGAAGACTAGAAAAAGATATCCTATAATCGATTTGCACTCCAAAAGCATTTTCTATCTGTGCTGATGCGTTGCAACTTCAATATGTTCAAATTTTAAATATAGAAAGCCTTTAAAAAATCTAATCAAAGTCAAGATTCAGAGTAATGAGTATCACAAGGTAAGAGTGGCTGTTTCCCAAGTGTGAAATCAATAGGATCCACTCACTGCGACCTCTAAAGGCAAACAGCAACTGGGAAACCCTTATTGGAGTGTATAACCCAAAAGGCAAGCAGGGAAAAAAAGCTAATGTCAGTCTGAATCACCCATCAACACTTTGGGAAACAATCAAAGTGCAAATTAAGCTGTGTGAGTCCAGTATCGGCCTTATTCATGGATGCAAAGAATAAGAACTGTCTGCATAAATGTTGGCTTTTTTGGATGGGATGTCGGCACCGAAAACAGCAGAACAATGGCACGGAGGTTATGTGTCATTTGGAACCATTTAGCATTGTGTGTGGTCATTTTGAGGCTCAGGGCAGCTCAAAAGCACTTTGTCATGACAAACCAGAACCTCATCTTGACCATGGAGGGGATATTGGAACAAATGATACCATGCTGATTTCAATAGTCTGACATTTTGGTCTGCGTAGCAGCATCCAGAAGTCGGCCATGTATGTTCTGGTGCCTTGGGAGGGAGGGAAAGAAGTAGTCCCAGCGCTGGAGTGCTAAAGGGCAGCTTCTGAAGTTACTGTGTCTTTTCAAGTGTGGCGAAGTGGCCCGCCGCTTCATCCGTGATTGGTTTGCATTACTGTCTCCAAGACAGCATAAACTAATGTTTATGTGTGATGCCATGCAGAACATTTCAACTCTATTCCACACTTTAACTCTCCAGTCTGAACTAAACCCAGTGGGATCAGGACTGAGGCAGAGGCAGGGTGAGAACTGCAGGTGAAACGCTACAGACTTGCCCCAGGCAGAGATAAGTAGATACCAAGAAAGCTGGAGAAAACCTTTAATCTGCACAATCAGACAGACGGGCTGTGAGAGACGAATCCTCCTCCCTGATGGGTTCTGTTGTCAAGCTGATAAAGATTCTTCTGAATTTCCTTGTCTTGCCCTCCCAATGACTCTGGGAATCTTTAATCATTGATTATACAGACACTCATCCATCAACCACAAGGATTTTACATATCGGGAAATTATGAACATGCATGCAAAGAAATGTGTTTAAATAACATCCAGTTCAACTTAATATTTGAAGTACATCAGTTAGATGAGGTACCTTTATCATTGGAAACAGAAAATCTATCTAAAGCTAGTGTGAAGATTACTCATTGGGTGTAATACTGAGATGAATGGTCACAATCTGTGAAATGTGAATCTTACAAAGTTATTGATTAGAAAACGAGTAGATTTCAGGCATACTGACAAATGAAAAGGGATGTTTTCCACTCATTTACTAAATATTATTATCTAAAACACAAATGGTTTTATCAACAAAACATGTTTACTGCCATGAACATAATTTACAAATAGCATCACATTAAATGCCAACTAAAGTGTCCCACAGATTTCTCATCATCCTCTGACACTTCACTGTATTTTCTGTGATTTTATTGTGTTTTAATCCTTTTTCGGTTCCGTCAAACGCTTTTTTGTTTTTACTCTGTCCTCTATAGAATTCCCATTTAGCTCTAAATAAAACACTGCCTTCTCTTTTTTGGTGGCTTGTTTTGGCCACAAAGGCTGAAGTTGTAAACTCCGAAATAAGACCCATCAGGCATAATAAGGGCTGCATCGCTGCACAAGAACAGGCTCTCTGTGTTTGCTGAACATCGGAGAACGAGTTTGGTAAGTTGAGTTTCTCTTCCTGTCTGCTTCATGTGCGGGTTTCAGCGCTAATTCAGTAGCAAATCAGCAAAGTACCGTCATTAAATATAGCCACAACGCACAACGACGGTGAATATCAGGAAACCTGAAAGTATTTCCCACTAATGACACTTTTCTTTGGTTGATATACTGTTCCGTAGTGGCAGGTGCTTCATTGGTGATGTCAACTCCCTTCCAACAAGTCGTCCCAAACTTACCTTCCCCTTCAAATCGAGGATGAATATCGCCGACGCCGACATCTTGGTGGAGAAAAATCCTCGAGAACAAGAAGTAGACAAGATAATATGTGGGTCTGCTCTAAGATATGGGTGACATTGATGGGATAAAACCCACTCCCATCCTTCTCCTCTCTCCTCCCCTCCACTCTCGCTCGGTCGTAGTGCTTCGCTGCAAGTCGCTGCTTTTCCGGACCGGAGCGTCAAACCCACCCTGTTCACGGAAGTACAACTTCCGGTTGTCAGGTAATTGTGCTTTCTTCTTCGTTGTTTTGAACATATATTGTATCTAGTTTGCACATTTTATCCAGAGATTACATCTTAAGAAAATGTAGACTAGAAAAGTTTTTGAGAACATTTTTTGAGGATATGACCTGAATGTGTAATATGTAATGTGGTGGAGTTCTTTTGCTAACAGGCCATCAGTATCTGAGAAATCTCAGATGATATATTAGTGCTTATTTTTCAGCAATATGAATAGAAATACTACTACTTCTACGGCAGTACCTCAAATTCCATCTCTTATAACATATAAAATAATGTATACCTTCTATAATGTATACCTTGCAGTGGTAATAATGCTGTTGATAACACTAATTCTGATGGTTACTTAAAAAGACGCATATTTTCAACACTTTTGAACTACTTTCATATAACACTGTAGGCTTCAGTGACCTGAAAAATATGTACTTTCTATCTTTTCTGTTTGTTTGGTTTCATTCTAAAGCAAATTAACCCCAATTAATGCAATCACCTGGAAGCTAGATTCTTTGCTTTTACTTTGAAAAGTATATTGCCTTTTTCCGGTTTTAGTGTGAACTTTACGCTCCTTGTTTCCGGGTAAAGCCTCGCCTGACAGCTCCACACAAACCTGTCAGACCACTCTCATCAGCTCAGTCGTCTCCAGGACCCCAGACGCCCCAGGCCCTATCCCAAGACGTAGTGCCAGACTTCATCACCGTTGTTTGCGCCATCATTACAAAGTTTGAAAAGAAGAAAGCTTTATATTGAAGGTTATTATTCCAGTTAGGTCTCAATGAGCCAAAAAGATATTGAGAAAACTGGAACACACTCTAGGCAATTGTTAGTACAGTAGGCTTGACCCGAAAAGGCATTTGGAGACTCAGTTGGATTTTATGTTTTATTGAGTTTTCATTGAGTGCAGATTTGCCAGGATACTTTTCAGTATCACCATGACCAGCTGAAGCACATTTCCTGACTTTATTTCTGGACATTTTTGGCAGCAAAAAGACTTTAAAAAAATGTGAATGCCATTGTTGGTGTCTGTATACTGTCCATTAAATCCTGTAATGGCAAAGTAGTTTGAGAAATGCAACAACTAAAAACTAAAATCACTGATGCTGTAACAGTGACAAAAAGCAATCTGCTCTTTTATCATACATAAAATAAGAAAATCGACATTAACAATTTATGTAACTTTTTTACATAAGCACATATTTTATGCATTTACAAGCACTCATACACAAACAATTTAACAAAACATATCTTTACAAAACATATTTTTCTCCACTTTGCATGACTTTTGTTTCATTCCAAGTTTTAACTAGATGAGATTTGTATGCATTGTGGTGCATTCAACTCAATAAATAAATGAGTTAATTAGATAAGCCCAATAGTGTCAAAAGATAGAATGATAATTTGTACTGCTTATAAACCATACACCTCAGTGTTTCAAATTTTTTTAATCCTGTGATTATTAAGCACTCATTACCAAGCAACAGACAAAAAAGTCACAAAATTATTTAGAAAAAGATAAAAAAGAAAAATACAGTAACATCCAAATGAAGTGTTTCAACAAGCAGACACCAACTCATCTTTTAAATTGCTCAGTAAAGAACAGTGCAGTTTAAGCCCAATATCCAGCCATCAAATGCAAACAGACGTGTCTTTCCAGTTTACATTTAAACATCCAAAGCTTCGGCTCTAAAACTAGGTTCATATTTCACTAGAACTTATTCTTAACCATTTATGACTCATTTTCTTACTTCTGATTTGTAGAAAAAAATTGAGCTCAACATGTTAAAAAATGTATAACCACTTCTCGTTTATATCTGAAATCAACTCATACTAACATTTGCCTTTAATTTTTCACTCTTATTATGACAGTGCGAACAAGATTTTAGTCAGGAACCGCTTTGCTGTAAAAGGTACAAGCAAATTTATTAACCACCCACGAAATGTGTATATAATGGAAAAAGAAGTGGACATCTTTATTTCCACAAATCAGAAAGTAAACAAACTAATTAGGACATACATATGAACAATTCCATTGTCGATAGAAGTGGTTTTGATTATGATAAAGTTAAATGGGCAGACTTAACCATGCAAGAAAACCTGCTTTGTCATCATCACACTGTGTTCTCATATAAGTCCTCATAAAACTCACGGGAATTTTTCTTAGACTTTATAAGACGTTCATCTAAATATTGATTGTAAACTGCATTTTTCTCTTTGGTTGTACAGATGAAATTCTTCTCAATAAATGTTATCAGTTATGTCGATGGTTTTGGCATTGTTGGAATACTGTACTTATACTGCTTAAAGTCGTTCATTTGATTCAGAATTCTGCTTCATATTGAAGTGTTTATGGGAAGCTATTTGTCTGAACCAAGGATGCAAATTTCAGAACCACAATATCAAAGAAAACACAGGGCAGGTATTAAGAGGAGACAATGTGATGGGATCTTTGGATATTTCAAGCTGATGCTGAGGTGGTTCTTACTTTTCCACAAAAGAATATTAATGACAGAAAAATATCATAACAGTATCTGCAAAAGCAGTACAGTTTCCAGAAAACAGGATGCGATAAATCATTGTTAGGCTTTTATTGGTAATTTTCTTTGTTATGAAAATGTACCATTCCGACACATTAACTATTTTTTAAACAATTGGCCATTTTGTCAGAGAAGACATCTCAAAACTCATTGAACAAATGAAAATATAGGGAGTGAAATTTGTGGCTCAAAGAGCACTGGCCTGACTAACAAATCCTCAGTAAAAATATGTGTTGAAACACTCCACCCAAGTACCTAAGTGATACTAAATTCAATCTCATCCATCTCCTCCTCTGTGTCTAATTCTATGCTCTGAGCTGCTCGCTCAGCTCTGGCTCTTTCACTCGCTGGGATGTAGTTGTCTTCAATGAAGCCGTCATCGTCCTCCTCGCTCACAGGAGGGAGAGAGTGAGGGCTCATTTCACGCCTCCCCCGTATGTCAAATTCCACCTCTAAACCTAAAGGAAGGGGGAAAAAAGAAAAAAACTGCTCAGATAGCTGAAATGTGATATGTTCTTTTCACTTCCAGCCTCATCAAGAGTGAAGTGGATTTGATTGATCTGGCCAACTTTCTTCTAACTTTTAGCTCTAAGTTGGCTTTTAGTGGGGATTTCTTTCCCCCTTCTGTTAAATTTCCTCTCCTTTGTCTTCTCCTGCCACACTTTTGGCTTACACAGTAGCTTTATTATTCTCAAAAACAAATTTATAGATATGAAATGATAGTTTCATGCTTAATAAGCATAATTATTCTTAACTACTACTAAGTGAATGAAAATGCAGGTGCTACTGCTAGGTGTGACCTATTAAGATGGACATTTTTGACCACTTGGGAGCAGCATAAACACGTGGAAAATCCACATTTTCCTCTAATCTCCTATCCGTGAACTTTTTACACACTCGGAACATAACAACACTAAAGTATTTTTGAGTGGTATTTCTGTCCACTTGATGTTTTACGACCTCGGTACTTTAGTGAGGGGTATTTTTCACACCAGGTGATCTGCAATGATTAGCAGTCCATCCGTGTTGACAGACTAAGCTTTTAAAATTTTTGATTTATAACTTGAAAAGAAAGACAAAAACAAAAGGGAGAATCTGGCAATGGGCTAGCTGCTGCGGCTGATCATTCCGTTTCACAAAAGTACATTACCACATAAGCTAAAATGCAGTCATCAATGAGATTTGCTGGGGAAAAACTAACCTGGTGGTTCGTTCTGGCTGATAGCGTCTGACTCCCTCAGCCTTGTGTGTCTGTAGCTGGCCAGGTAACGTCGAATCACCTGGCATTTTGCCAGGACAGCAATGAGAAGGGAGACAGAGATGGCTGTGACTAAAACGCCTACCATTAACTCCCAGTTATGACTGGGAGTCGTTGGCATGTCTGTGACTGTAGCTGTAAGAGAGTTTAACAAAAAACACACTTATCACAGGATAATCCAATATTCTGTTGCTTTAATTAAGCGATACTCCGGTTATGTACACAGGTCTTTATACGACCGGATCATTATAATGAACGGAGAGACCTTGAAATGACACTCTACAAATCTCTTCCTCAGGGCCTCTCAGTCTGCAGCGCTTGATAATCCCCAGAGCACATTATTACGTGTTAGAGAGCCACATTGATTTGCCAGAGATCTCAGACCACACAGCAAAGTGAAATGAAAAATACTCGACTGTAAGTTTTCCATCAATCCATCCATTTTCTATACCCTCTAAATCCAGGGCAGGGTCAGGGATCACTGGATGCTATTTCAGCAATCATTGGACGAGAGGACAGGTTTCCAGTCCATCACATGACCACACAGAGACAAACAGAACAGACAACTGTGCACACTCACACACATTTATACAGTCGAGTTAAAGCCTCCACTTAACCTAACATGCATGATTTTGGGGGGAAGGCAGTGGAGTACCTGCAAGGAACTGTGAATTTTAGTCAGGAATACTTCAATCTCACTTATCTGCAGCTGGACCAGGGGGAGTTTGACAAACACTAATCCATCGTCATGGCTCAGTCTCATCGCGAGTGGGTGAAATATCCCTAGCCGTTTAAACATGCACCACAGAATTGCTGGCTGGGTAATGACACCACCGAGAATTCATGCCAAAATTCCTCACATATCAGTTTCGTACACTCCACTTCACTGTGGCTTCATTCCTCTCTGTTTCCTTTTTAAACAGCTGATATTAAAACATATGTGACCGGTATTTCATTCATGTTTCTTGTTCAATTAAAAAAAATAAAGACCACGTTGAATTCAGATGTTAAGATATTAAACACTGGACAAAGCACTTAGGCCATTGATTTTTTTTTAATTGGAGGAATTCAGCTTTCCACGGCCAAGGTAAAGCAAACCTTTCACGATTTGATGTGGAAAAAAAAACAATTCTACGTGGGCTAAATGGAGAATCTTTAGTGGACAATTTACGAGGAAAAAAAGAGCACTTACCATTTTTAGTTGGTGTTTGTGCAGTTGTTTCATTTACTGATGATTCCATCTGACTTTGTTAATATTTGTGCTGTCTTTTTTGTGAGGGGTTGTAAGGGCTTTGTGAGTCGCCGCTTCTTAATCAAACATTTGTTTTTAAGTTATCATTAGCTCTTGCATTGAACCATCAGATTGTTATTGTGCACTTTCTTTCTACAAGATCCAGAAGAACTTAGAATTTTCTCTTGTTCATCCCATTCACGAGCTGGCTTTCTATATTATCTTCATTGGGTAAAAGGTCAGTTAGACTTGGAGAGGATGTTGAAGGCCGGTCATCACCCCAGTTGCAGGTGGTTGTCAAAAAAAAGTTCTGTTGTCCACATAGAAGTTGATTCTTCAGAGCTTCGCTTGGTGACACTATGAAGTCCCTCCTCAGGTACAAATGTCTGCCGACTGGTCTTTTAACAACGCAGTGAGGCACTATCGAAAAAGGAAGAAACAAATAAGCGGTTAAGTTAATGTTGATTTCTTAGCCATTCATTTCTGCAATCAAATGATCAGATATATCTATAAAGAGAGACGTCTTTGTTGAAAATGCTGCATTAATCGTCCCAATCTTAAGGTAATACTCAACATTAATCTAAAGGTTACTGTTGTGTAAGGACTATGAGCACATCCACAAATGTTTAGCTTAGCACAAAGTCTCGGAGCTGGGAAAATGTTTGACTAGGTTTGATGAATGAAGAAACTCCCCATACTTAGAATCATAAAAGGTCACACCCAAGCTGAAACCCATACTGAATATGAACTAACATCATCCTGTTAGAGTCATTCTGTGTGCAAACGCAGACTAGTTATAGAGTGAAGGTTGTGCTTGCAGGATAGAAGACCTTAAGGTAATGTTCACCACAAATTTGCAAGCTATTTGCATACGCACATAAGTCTAAATGAGAGTTCCCTGTGTTTAAAATCCTGTCAGACAAGATATTAATAATGCTTTCTGGTTTGCATTATTGTGTTTATCTGTTTTAAATATTCTCAACTATATCACATGCTATCTTAGTATAAAGGTATTTATTTTCCGAAGTAAATGTGCTACATTCACAGTTAAACTCGGATAAAAGTATAAAAATGTCATGAAACATGATTGAATCAACAAAGGGAACTTCATGAACTGCTGAACTGCTCCATGTCACCGGATGGGAATATATGGCACAGTTATATGAAAAAGCATCTCAAGTGGATTTTATTTCTAACATTATGTGGATCCCATTTGTTTTGTGTTGCACAATAAATGTGAACACACATGTAAAGAATGTAGGAATAACACGACAGAAGATTATGTAAGATTAACAAAACACACACATTCAGTGTGAACTCCTCCTCCAAACTACTATAGGGATAGCCCCTAATAACGCTGCCAAAATAAAGACAGATGTTGGGATGCTGGATGTCTGTTTGGTAAATATGCTCATAATATGCAACTGCACATACCTAAAAAAAAAACTGCTGAAACTATGAAATACTTATTTTAGTTTTGGATGGCATTTAATGGTATCTTATTTTAAATTTTGAGATATACTAGAAAACATGGATTAAGATGCTATGACATGTCATATGTTCCCTCATGCTGGAATAGACCTGCTCCAAGACCTGCTCCAAATTCAACCTTTGAACAAAATTATGTTTACTTTTTTTTTTAATTAATTAAAACTATGCTTGAAAGACTGAATTCATAAAGTCTTTCAATTCCCAAAATGTATTTGTAGCTTTCGGAGGCATGTTTAAGAATTCTGTATCTCATGCTCACTTTCTTGGCTCTGAGGTGATTTTTCATAGCAAAAGGAGGTCTGGCTGCTCAGCGCCAGCCATTACACCCCTTCCCCTTCATCTTCTCAAGCTATTCTCTCCAGCAGTGTAAGTTGTAAACACGCCAACAGGCCCGCCTTTATCTTTTCCTGTTCTGTCTTCACACAGGCAGAGCCTAAGACAACATACACCAGGGCAGCAGGAGCTTCAAGAGACAGAAATATGTGTTTCAGATGGGGTAGTGTTAATGTATGCCTCTGCTGTATTTCAGTTTGTGTTTGTAAGTACACCTACATGTATGTCAGTCTACATTTGCATGATTATCAACATTCATCTATGGTTGAATATGACTATCAAAGCATGAAGGAAGTTTTTATCAGGCAGGCTTTGTGTCATTGCTCCAAAGTGAAGTATTATATTAAAGACATTAATGATGACTTTAGGGTACAACATATTTTCTGTCTTCAAGTTGAGTTAAAAATGAAAATAATATTGAGCTCATGGCGTGTGATTTGATTTCTTTAAACTGACACACTCAATGTTAGCAGCTTTCTGGTTTCTAACTTGATTATGCTGCAGAACTTCATGTTGAACTTTTGTCAAATTGTCAAGCAATTACAATGTAAAAAAAGACATTTAACATTTTGAAAAAACTGATTGAAATAGCATGCTAACCTCCCTCTTTCGCTCTCATCTCACTGCCAAGTTCTGCATGTTTCTGTTGCTTTGGAACGTGTGGAGGAGTCCATGTTTGTCATGGATAATGGGCATTAAATCTCACATACTCTGAATATTTCCATGAAAATGCAACACCCTTAAACATGTATTGTGCTTTTCTTGTTTAAGTTCTACATGTTCCAAATCATTTAAGTGAGGTGCTTTCAAATATTTGTTTTGTTTTTTTCGTTTAATCCTGGAGTAAAGACAGTGTCAGCAGAAATCCAACAATAACTCTGCTTAGCTGTCATGAAATCCACCTTTTATGTTGGATCATGACTTTTGTACATCAGACTAAACTTGTTTTAAATAAATGGTGCATGACTGTTTGGAGTATAAATAGCAGGTGAGGGCCCATCCGGGGGTCAGTATTTGTCACTAGCAGCAACATATCCGTTAAGCAATCCATGCACATAAAACGATCATATCAACTGTATATGCCTAGTGCCATTTTGTCCTTGGTCAACAAATAAATAGCTTTAAAGTAATAATTAGCACAGGAAATAATGTTAAAGGTTATTACCCAAATGTTTCTATTAATTTAAATTATACTCAAGCAAATCATTGACATAAAACTCACAAAATAGCCAATGTTGCTGTTTGCCTTTGAACTGCGCAAAACTGACCTACAACTGTGCTCTTTTTTTTAACTGATTTTTTTTTTCATGAAAACATTAGGTTGGACAGTCATTTGATTAAAGGAAGTAATATGAACAGAATACAAAATATTTTACATGGCTTGGCTTCCTCTGTTTCTATTCTTGCTTAGACCTTGTATCAGGTGTGTAGTTAGGCTGTTTCCATGACTGGGCAAGTTTGCTAATGAGCCTAATAGCACTTGCAGTTTGCTGCAAATTACACTGCTTCACAAAGTACGCATTTACTTCAGCTCATGTGATTTGCTCTTGTAGGTCAGTTCATGTCATGGAGAAGTGAACTCTTTAGTTACATGACTTTGCTTCACTGAAGAAGAATTGCACACTGCAAGTGTAACATTAAGTAACAAAATCTTGTATTGTTAAAATCAGCATCAATCGGGAGAGGCTTGTGGATTTTACTGGTAAATGGTCTTTTAGACTGGCCTCCTTGTTAAACTCACAAGGCATTCATTTCACCTGAGAATATGCATTATGTGTCTAATTTCCCTTTATATTTTTAATATTTTTGTGTGCTTTTAAGTAATAATTACCTTCAGCTGTAGAACTACCGCCTAGCAAAGCTTTCTACTCAAGAAGCCTCGTGTTTATTTAAAGTCTTACCTGGTCACCTATCCATGAAATCCCCGTAGCCTGAGAGATCACTCTGTTTCTGTGTGCCCACAGATTTCTCACCAGCTTTAGAAATTCGTTTAGCTTTGTCTGTGACGTGGAAAACTGTGTTCAAAGGTTGAACGAGTTGTGCTATACGGCTGCCTCTCAGAAGGGCAAGTTAAAGAGTAACTACTGTTACTAAGGTGTGTTCTCTCCCGCCTCTTGTTGCTCTTCCCTGTCCAATGGTGCAGCAGACCTGGTCAGGGGCTGGGTGTTGCCACTCCGCAGTGGTAAACCAGGAAGAGGTACAATATGACTTGTAAATTACATGTTGTGCTTTGTCCTTCTGTCTTTCTTTTCAAGTAAGACTGTAACCAATCAGTTTCAGGTATTCAGCAAATGTTGTAATAGGAATACTTTCTACCTTGTTTATGTTTGCTTTATGTGGCTTCGACCCCTTAAGGTGCCACACCTTTCTTTGATCACCTTAAATATAAACCTTTCTTGCAGTAGTTCTTTATTGAGACAGGAAGTGAGACGAGATACAGTTGCAATAGCAATGAGTTTTGTTTGTGTAAGATCCACAGCCTTGGCGGAGAGAACTGACCTTTTGGAACTCTGAAAGGAAAAGCGAGATGACCCTTGAGGACAATAGGATCGCATCCTGGCCACAATGTAACTTAGCATCTCCCTCCCTTACTCTTCCTTTATGTATCAGGATGCTTCAGCTGCATGTCTTAAGGCAATGGGATGAAGATGGGTTAAGAAAATAAAACTATAAGTCAGCATAAACTCAAATGTGTAGAGGAAACTTCCCAAAACAGATAAGTTGCTTGCCATTAGCACTTCCTGTCACATGTCCTTTCAGATTACTTATATCAGTACATTCAGCTGTGTCATTCAGTTCTTTGAATTGAATTGAAATTGTAAGTAAGTAGAATGTTCATAAGAGGCTGGCAAATTAATTTAAATGCTTTTGTGTTAGACCTGTTTGACCATTTGGCTGCAGCAGAAACAGGCTGACCAACTTTTGGGTTGTCATAAAACAGTTTCTTATTTACACTCCAAGCAGGGAAGTAGCAACATTATTCTGGGGTCATGTTTCTGAATGTCAAAATAGTGCACCCATTCTCCTCCCAGCTCTGTTTTGTTCAGGTCACTCTTAATTTTGACGTGATCTGTTCTGTACGTGTACAAGCTCTTCAGCTGCTGGATGTGTGGTATACAGTGTCAAAAAAAGCATGACAATGAAATAAAGTAAATAAAAATAAAAAACTACAGGCAATTGTCATAAATATAGGCGCTATCAATAAAGGCTGTATTTAGGTTAGATGTGCACTTATCTGATAGCCCTCTGGAGACAGACATGAACAAGTTTAAACTCACTAATGAGAATAGTGAAAATACTGTCAGACTATACAACACTTTAAGGGGTTGACCAAGGGGCTTTCCCCACGTTTGGTGCCACAAGATGTTTTCTCCCTGTCCAGAAGGTGAATTGCTGGGTTCTGAGGTCACGGTCCCCTCTTTGGGGAAGATGGGAAAACCTTGCAAGGTCCTTTAAGAGGGGGGAAATAACAACACGTGGCAGACTGTGCATAACAATGGAGAGTTGCACTTGAGGAGGAAGAGCAATGTGACAAACAAGCCTGTGTCTGGCCATCAGGGCACTGAGACGGCCAGCTAGTTCATTTCAGCTTTTCTGTTTTATTTAATCAGACTTTTTTTCTGTTGCTGCTTGCAAGTTTAGTTTAGACTTTACAAAGTGATTATCTCAAATACGTTTTTTGAAGTTTGAAGGTCTATGTGACTTCCCTCAGCATAATGTGAGAAGGGCTCTGCAGATCTGTGAATGTAATGGTTCCATTTTAAATTCCAGTTTAATCTTGTGCCCACTGTTGCACTTACAGTGAAATCGGGGGGCTAATCTAATTAAAAGGAAGGTTGTTATGCACTCAGCCTTTGTCTTTTTCTTTCGCCATTTCTTCCACTGAGCTGTTTTAATGACCTGGTCTCAAAACAGAGGTTATTTATGTTTCATCTAATTTAATCTAAGAGTTTCCTTCCTTTACATGCCCAGTGGTGTAACATTACATACTTCACTAGCACTAACATTCTGAGTACAGGTTCTGTATTTGTTATGCTTGATCTCCTTCCACCTTTTGCATGTGCAATTCTCCATGCACCCAGAAAGAGATGGGTTCAATTCGCATTAGTATTACTTTGATTTCTTTGATGGTTGGATGTGTGTTTACTTTTTGTTCTCAAATGCATACTGATTATCACTCACTTGATGTAAAACATAAAACTGGATCCCTAACTTTTTTTCTTTTTCGTTTAATAATTCAGGTCCATATTCAGTAACCTGAATGGGTGATCCAGTCTGTTCATCAGTATGTGCACTTTGTCTGTTTTGGAAGTTATAGTTGTGTAAACATATCACAGGCTCTTACAGTATCCTGACTGATCAACACAGAAATGTCCACAGTTTGAGCAACACAGTTTCACCAAAGCAAAACTGGTAACTTTCAATCATAAATCTTATAGTCCTTTGAACATTTGGAGATGCAACGCTTAAATAAATACACTTTTACCAAGTGTAAATTACATGTTTCAAAACCTCTATGGAGACTGCAAGTCTATGTGAAAACTGAGAATACACTCAGACGATAAATTATTCATTATTCGACATTCACCACCAATATTTGTTAGTAATGATAAATCTTCATCTTATACTTCCTTTCTTTGTATCCAATCTGCATGTGCAGCTAGCAAATTACTTGGGGGCACCAACTGCTCGGCTAATACATAATATTTGGAGTTGCTACTTGTAAAGTCATTATGGATCCAGTCATTCATGGCAGGCTCTGAGATGTAAGCAACACAAAATGTCAATAAGGAGACTGTGTTTTCAAGTACAGTTGTAATCACTACGGGTAACCCACTGTAGAAGCTGGTTGCAGGACCATGCCCAGTTGTTGCCTCATGAGCATTTTCACTGCACCAGAGCAGAATAGATGTTTATTGGTAACTTAAAAACAAGCCTTCCTTGTTTTCTTTGCAGAGAAAAAAATGTGTTGACACTGTTCTTTTCCCCTTTTAGGATAGTGTTAAGAATATGTGAAAACACTTACACGCTTTGATTTTGACTGTTTAAGGGCTTTTGCCCTGAGATGTGAAAGAGTTTGTGGTGGAGAAATAATGCTTTAGAAAACCAAATATGGATCTCTGGATCTGACAGAGGACACCATAGACATTGTAAATGTCAATGTGTTGTCAACCTCAATCATACTTCTTTACTCACTGTTTTACTTGTTTTTATGTTATTTAAGTTTTGACTTCTGAGATCTCTTCCTTTCATCTCCAAGTTATATATTTGACCAGTCAACATTTAACCAATGTGCAGCATCATCAACATGGGCCGGTACGTTATTTTTATTAAGCTGCACACAAGCCTCTCTGCACTGGTTGAAACAACCAGCTAAATATGTGTACATATGCACAAATTTAGTTTATTTCTGTAGTGGTTACACTAAAAATTTCAGTTTACTCTTTAATCAATCATTCGCTTTATTCGAGCTTCTTTTTTTAGTACAAACCTAACTGCATGCGTAGGGACAGGTGGATTTCCTGCCTGGCCTGCATTTGTTTTCTCTTTGCCGTACATGCTTGCTTTGGCACCAGCGGCCAGCCAGCTCTGGCCTGAGTGTTCTGTCCACCCCACTAGCTTATGGGCACATGCACACGTACATGGACATGTCTAAATGTATGGCTCGACATGTGTACATTAGTCCGTGATTGCTGGACAAGTTATCAGACGGGAGCTGAGACCCTCCACATCCACCCCGCCAACATATCCACAGGCCTTTTCCTGCCTGGAGGGTGATTCCTGCCCCTGCGCTCCCTCCACTTCCTTCACACACATATCAGCCCCCAGCAGCAGTACCTCTTCCTGAGTCGGATTCAAGTCCTGTGGACACTGCGGACAACCAACAACAGCTCATCCATCTCTCTTCCACTGGCTTGCTCTGCTTTCTTAAAGTCTCACATTCAGTACTCCCTGACTCACTCTTTCATTTGATCTTATCCCCTTACACTATTTCCATAGGCAAGAAACTTGGGAATTTGGTCCCTGCGCTGACTATTGTCTTAGTGCAAATTTGCTCAAAATACCTCCAGCTTAGCACTCTCGGGGTGTTTTTCAACTTCCTCAAAAACACCTTAAACAGAGATATTTTGAATAACTACCACTCCCTTTCCACAGTTTCCTTGATACTGGTATTTCTATTTCTGTGATTTGTTCAACTCACTCTTAAATATGAAACTTAACTGAAACTAATGTTGATTCAGTCACATATGCTCTGGATGATAGGATTTAAATCAATTACACCATATTCATGGTCATACATGTAGAGTTCTGTACCATGCCCTGCAGTTACTTTTGATAAAACTGAAACCAGGTGGATTAGATTAATCATTCAATCAAATCTACCATATTAGTATCTGGTGATTGGTGAATAAAACAAATTCAAGACTCTTTTGAATTTCCCATGTTTTAAACTCGTCTGAAAATGACCAGTGTCTTACACTTTTCTTTTCACTAGGAACCAGTAAGTTGACCCCATGCAGTCATTATGAGGGACTGCTCAGTGTCATCCAGAGGCTTTCCAAAACCCCATCAGTGAGGAACCAGCCTGTGAGTACAGCACATTTACCTGTGCGGGGTCGACACAGGCTGAAACATCAACATCCTGAAAACATAGAGGGTTTGTGCAGTGTCAGACAGATGAGTGATCATGCTCTGCAGCTGCTGATGCACCCAGATCACCCCAGCCCCTTTATTAGTGCTCACAACCTCACTCGGCACAGACTGGGAGTATGGGTGTGCTTTCTTTCCAGTGTGGGACTAATGAATGGACACGAAAGCCATGTTTATGAAAAAGGTAGCTTCAACTCTGTTTGATTTTGAGTGTGTCTCTGAGCCTTTCACATTGTCATAATTAGATACATAACAACTCCAAAACGAAAATGAGAGTTTTTTTACAGAACATGGTTAGACATGGGAAAATGTATGCTTCAAAGCACATATATTCTATTCTAAGTGACTATAATGAAATAAAAATAATAAGATCATCAAAAAGTGAGCCATTTGGATGCTGAGAACTGTCCTGTTTCTGCAGAAATAATAAATGCTATGTGTTACAGTGTATCCTTTCATCTCTGGGATGAACCAAAATTCGCTGCAGG